GCTGGACCTGTACAGCATGCAGATCAGGGCCTCGGCCTTCGAGGGAGAGTCGGTCTCCGACCTGCTGGCCGACTCACTGGCCCTCACGGGCTCGGCCACGCTGGACGGACTCCGCGCAGGGCAACGTGGGCTGCGACCAGCTGCGCAACGACGTGAACTGCACGGACGTGTTCACGACGTCGCCGGAGCCACGCTGTCGTCCCACAGGCGCCGTGTCGGGCAGCTCGCTGAGCATCACCGGGGCGGCTAGCGTGGGCCTGCTGAGCTTGGCCACCGGAATCACCGGCAGCACACTCACCATCAACAACACGGCCAACGCCGGGAACTTCACCACGGTGGTCCACGGGCACACTGACGGCCTCCGGCGCAGCGACGGCGGCGAGCTTCGCAGCCACCGGGGCGCTCACGGGCGCCACGCTGACGATCACCGGGGCGGCGTCCGCGGGCCCGCTGGACTGCGAGAGCCTGGACTGCACCTTCACGGCCACGAGCGGCGGAGTGTCGACGGGCAGCGTGGTGTGCGGCGACGTGACGAGCTCGGGCACGGTCTCCGCGCCGCAGCTCTTCGCGTCCAACACGCTCACCGTGACCAACACCTCCGACTTCTCGGACGATCTCTTCTTGACGAAGAACTGGGCGGGCTGGAGCAAGCTGCAGGTGTCCAACAACAGCGCGGCCTCCGACAGCGGCCCGGAGCTGCGGCTGTTGGGCAACCAGAGCGGGCGCACCAGTGCGAGCTCATCATGATCAACGACGAGGCGCTGGTGCAGACGAAGAGCCTCTCGACGCAGCTGTCCTTGACCACGAACCAGAGGAACCCCGGCTGCCTCGTGATCGCAGGCAACACGGGCAACGTGGTCTGCAACACGAGCTTCACGAATTTGTCGGACAGCCGGGTGAAGACGGAGATGGCCGAGGCCGACGTGGCATCCAGCAGCTCTTCGACTCCGTGGAGGCCAAGCAGTACAAACGCCCGGACATGAACGGGGACCTGAGGCTGGGCTTCGCCTTGAACGACTTCGCAGGAGCGAAGTGGAAGAACCTGACGGCGGGGGCCGAAGAACCCATAAGAAACATGGCTGACGCCCGCAGACGAACCATCAAGGCCGTCTACGAGGATCCCCGCGCCGGCTTTGGCAGCATAGCGCAGACGCTGCGGCAGGCTCAGGTGTGCGACCCCAGCATCTCCAGAGAGGAAGTGAAGGCGTTCCTGGACGGCCTCCGGGACCGGCCGCAGAGCTTCGTGCCTCTGGAGCCCATGAACCAGCTCTGGCAGACATGAAGGCCTTCGGGGGCAAGCCCTACCCCTTCATGCTGGTGGCCATCGATGCGCTGACCAAAAAAGTGGCCGCGGAGCCGCTGAAGGACCGTCTTGCGACCACCGCCGGGGGCATGAAGAAGGTGTTCCAAGCCCTGGGGGCGCCGGCCAACGTGTGCTCCGACGACGGCTCCAAGTTCAAGAGGGAGTTCAAGGAGCTGATTGATTTCTGGGACATCGAGAAGCAGGTGACCAGGGGCATCCGCTGCGTCGCATAGCTGCCGGAGCGGGGCGGCGGGGGCAGTGGCACCTCATGCTGCTTGACGTCTGAAGGAAGCACGCTACCACGCAGGTGGCGCCGAACCTCGCCTACTCCGACCCCGAAATGGCCGAGATTGCTCTGCGCAACATCGAGCGCAGGGCCAAACACAAGGTGACCCGCCCGGAAATTAAGGTCGGGGATATGGTTAGGATCAGGGTTAAGCCGATCGAAAGCAGGGGCTCCAAGGTCAACGAGATAGCCTGGAGCGAAAAGGTATTCAGGGTAGCCTCCGCTGAGAGCGGGGAGATGGGGGCGAGGTTTGGCTTGGAGGGGTGCGCAGGGATCTCCGAAAGGTCCCCGAAAACTCAGCTCCGCCTTGCGGCGAGGGCGGCGTCGAGAACTGCCGTGGTGACCGCGTCCAGGAGGGCTGCCGCTATCTTAGAGTCCACCTGAGAGGAAGTGTCGACGGCCGACAGCAGGGCGTACGCGGTCAGGGCGCCGCCCGCCTTGGAGGCCTGCAGCCCCATGATGGAGGCGTCTCGACTTGCAAGCTCGGAGGCCAGCGCTGCGGCGGTGACGACTCCCAGGAGAGCGTTGGCCACCTTGGTGTCGACCTCCAGCGGCGTGATCCTTGCCGCGATGTTGAGGGAGTGCTGGTCCACCACCGTCTTGAGGCCGTAGTTGGCTGCCACCGTGGCCAGCGTGGCGTTGTTGGCCGAGGCGATGGAGCCGTTCATGGCTGCCGTGGTGCTGTAGTTCGACAGCTCCACGCCGTCGGGGGTGCTCTTCGTGGCCACCACGCCCTCCAGCGCGTCGAAGGCCGACTGGTCAGCCTTGTTGGAGAGACCCGTGGTCAGCAAGCTCTGCAGCGCTGCGGATGCTGCTGCCGTGCGCAGCCACCTGCCCGTCTGTGGTGGCCAGGGCTGCTGCCGCCAGCTTCGAAGCCAGCTCTGAGGGACGACCTCCGGGATGTTGCCCGTGACAGGTCCTTCAAACATGTTTTCTTAGGAGTGACCAAAGTCAGGTCGTAGGCTACGTACTTGTAACGCGGGTTGTTGCAATTTCGCAACGCCCCCTTGAGTCGCTTTGGGCCAGGATTTTTCGGGCAAAATCGATGGAGTCATATCGTCGTGGGAAAATATCCCTCAATTCAACTTCCCGTGCTCGGCTACCAGGACATGAAGTGAGGGAAAATATCCTTCACTTCATGGTCCAGCTCGCTGTAGCGCGTGGGTATGACGAATTGACCGATGGCCTCGGTCAAAACACTTGGGACACCTCGGCCTTGTAGCGCATGATGAATTGACCGATGTAGCTATGCATTGTGTGCGTAGTTTTATAGGACCGAAAGCTTGTGTCACGGGGCTACACAGGCCGTGGGGCACCTCAGAGGCTCAAGCGCTAGCAGCTCCCTTGTCTCAGTGGTTAGAGCACTGTCTCTGCACCACCCCTGGTCCAATAATGACTCCAACTTGCGAAGAACGAAGTCCGCTGGAACTCGGGAACTTGGCCGCTTTTGCGCACTTTTCGGCCCAAAAGAGAGCGGTGACGAAGCGGTGACAAACGGTGACAAGCTCGGCGGGATGGAATTTGCCTGCTTTTCCGGGCTGAAAACGGAATCCAGAGCAAAGTGAGCGTCTGGAGCCTGCTTTTGACCGAAAACGAGCGAAACTAGAGGCTCAGGCATCCCACTTGCCGTCTGACACGAAAAAACGAACTTTTCGGAGTTGGCCGTTTTGAGCACTTTTTGCACCAAAAACGGAGCGGTGACAAAGGCGGTGACAAGTTCGGCAGGCTGTCGTGTCACAAGCCAGGACCTCGGCAGGCTCGAGCAAGGTCCTCGCCAGGCTGTCGTGCCACGGAAAACCCTGCGAAGAACAAAGTTCTCCGGAACTCGGGAACTGGGCCGCTTTTGCGCACTTTTTCGGCCCAAAAGTGAGCGGCGACGAAGCGGTGACGAACGGTGACAAGCTCGGCGGGATGGAATTTGCCTGCTTTTCCGGGCTGAAAACGGAATCCAGAGCACAGCGAGCGTCTGGACAGACCTAGCAGAAGATCGCAGGAGTTTCCATGCGCGTCAGATGCGCCAAGCTGTTTCAAGATATTCAGCAGTTCTACAAAGACAACAAGGTTCAAGACATTGCCAAAGCTTCTCCCCACCATGTTGAGACGCGAAGTCCAGGGAAAAAAAAGAAGTTCCAAAGCTCCGAGTCAAAGCAGGAGAGAGCAGAACTTTGGTGCCATGCTGTTTGCAGCTGGCCATTCAATACAATGACACAGGCATACCTCATGAGTCAGCTATGCTGCAGGGTTGCTTGCGGTTGGATGTTATGTACGCTTGCTTGAGTTTGGCGAACTGGGACGCTGACAATTTTCTACGAGCAGCGCAGCGCAGAAGCTTTTGTTGCTCATGCATACCTTGGAACGTTTCTTTAAGGAAAATATGTTTAGAGTGAAGCCCAAAGGGAACTTACTTTTAAAGCTGGCTAGGTCAAGAACCAATGCCGCGCACACTTCAAAACATCGAGACGAATCGTTTGGCCACACATTGGCATTGCTGGCCAGACAAAGAGGAGGACAGTTTTCCACGGCAGCAGTTTCCAACGCGACATTGCTGAGATTTCTTGCTGCCAACAAGGTGCCCAGACTGGCAATGTGAAGTATAGAGCGCTGGGCAGCGAGCTTCGGAGGTTTCTAGCCAGCATGGACCAGACCAGCCGGCGTAAAATGTATATAGATTTGCGCCTTATATAGGTGCGCAACTCAGAAGCAACAATGCTTAATTAAGCAGTGTTTTTTTACAATGCTTAATTAAACAACGATGTCCTTTTTTTTTGTTGTCATAAACAATCCTTAACGTTAAAAAAACACTTGTGGTGGATTGGGCTGATCGCTGATCCCATGGTGCAACGAGTGTGTTCTTGCGGTACGCTGGTCGCAAAGAGGCCTTCCAAATTCCTCTGAGATGACACCCGAAAAGTTGGCATGCGACAGGTGAAGTAACTTTCGACAAGGCATAATAAATTGAAGTTGGCAGGCGAAGTTGGCAGGTGAAGTTTGCAGCCGCTTGTAGAAGAAGAGCCCTTCGCAATGCTTCCGGGAACGAATGATTTGGACTGTTTTGGGCCTTTGGGCCAATCCACTCAATTGAGAATAGCTCTTGGCAAATTGATTCCATGTTTTCCCCGGTTTTGTTCGGGTTCCATCCTTTCATAAACCACCCCTTTCAAAGGGGTTTTGAGGTAGAAGGATCCCGAGAATGGGGCGGGTACGGGTGAAGGTACGGGCCAGGAAAAAGAACCCCTCTTAACTATGACTATGGTTTTGAAATCCCCCCACACGCCCACTCTAATTATGTAGACAATTTTCTTTGTCTGTCATTTTTTGTTTTTAAAAGCATTTCCAAAAAGAGCACTGAACTCCATTTTGGGTCCCCTCAAAACAGGCACGCCCGTACGGCTTTGGTGGAAGCTTTTGAGTTCGGCAATTTGGCTCAGCATGGCCCCGGTTCCCGCGCTGCTCCGCGCGCGCGTAGAGGTGCGGCCTGCTGGTCGCGCGCGTGAACACTTCCAACCCCTTGGAATTCGCTTGTTTGTTTTTGAGAGAACCGTTTCGGGCGTAACCTTCTCACCAGTCTTTGGAACGTTTTGTGACTTTCGGGGCCATCTTCGTGGGCAAAAAACCCGGTTGGCTTCTTTGGTTGACAAGTACACCTGCAATAACAACCCCGAGGAAGTGAAACAAAAAACAAGTCAGCAGTCAGGGTTGGACTCCATTGATTTGGTTTAGAGGTACGGGTGGCTCCGCGCCTTCAAAAGATGACAACATCTCAAGGAAGATCGGTTGAGATTTTTCGACCCACCATGAGTGTGCTTTACTCGGGGATCTAATTCTTGTTCCAGGGTTTTGGAACTGTCAAATTCAGACTTTAGTTTCCTTTGGCTTGGGACCCATATTGTGCCGATCGATTGGGTCCAACTGGGGCAACGGGAGGTTCGGAAACTTCAGTTGAAGAATTCACCAACAAGATCCAACACCTGGGGACTTATTCATTTTCCAATATTCCTTTCGGGCAACCTGCATAATTTCGACTGTGGCTCATACTACTGTTGGACGAAATCCATTTCGCACCACAGAAACCCTGGAACATAGCAACAAGGCCGGTCATGGTCCTCTTACAGGAGAGCGAGTTCCTGGTGAGGCAACTGGGCTTCGATGCGGCGTTTTTCGACCGGAGAGGAGCCTAAATGGGAATGAGCTTCGACGGTTTTGCGGACATCGTGGCTGGGCTTTGCGAGTTTACATTTAGGGCTTAGGTTAACATGAGTTATATGGAGTTTTGCGTTTTGCGCGCGCGCAGCCTTTATATATTTCAGGGAACCCACTAAGCAGAGAATAGTTTGAGTCGTGCCGGGTAAGTTCGAGCAACCCAGTTTTGACTCCGACCATTGTACCTGCGGAAGGGTGGCCTCTCCCGTTGATGAACCTCTTCAGTACAAGGCCGCATGCTGTCGTGGAAGCCGGCTCACTCGGAGTTGGCACCGAACAATGGTCCATTTTCTGGATTTGTTGCAGGTATTCTCGATATGGGGTTGTCATTTGTTGATGGGAACCCGTTTTGGGGGGTGGTTTAAAGGGAAACCAACAGGACATCCACCATTTTGGGGTCCGCCTCTTTTGAGACACACCCATACAGGTGAAACTCGAGTGTTTTTTGTCGTATTTGGTTTTGCATCTTTGGTCTGCCCTCAGCTTCGAGTCAGTTCCACCCAGCTGTTTTTGGACGGGTTGCCCTTTGCCAAAAACGGCGGGACTAGACAGTAGCCACGAGATGGAGCATTGTTTCTGGGTGAACTCCTGTGTGATCTGACAATTATTGCATGGGTAAAAGGTGAGGCAGCTCCTGTTGTTGGGCATAGAAGACAAGGCAATCCGTGAAGCCTTTATTGGGGTCCCTGACTTAGTATTGCTGAGGAGTTAGGTTTTGGGTTTGAAGTCGGAATGAGCATGGGATCCACTTACACGAACAAGCAGTTGGATGGTAGGTCATTTCGCCTCATTCCCTACTGAGAACCAGCAAGTTTGAACTTGTTCAAAGGGGTTTTTACCAACCAGCCCCAAAGGATCGGTGCAAGCATGGCCAGCCCCCACTCCTCGCAATCTGGAGAAGGGAAACCGCCTCTTAAAAACCTCGGGCAAAATGGGCTTCGGCCCCGCGGGCCGCGCTTCCAGGCTCACGGAGCTCTTCGGGCTGAGCCGCTCAGGAGCGGAGCCTGGGACGTATCTCTCACCTGAGTTCCCAACCGGGGGGTTTTGGGGGCTCAGGGAAAATGCGTTGCGGTCCCGTTAAGGATGCCAGCTAGCTGGGGTGAGCTACATACACAATTTGCCCAACTCAAATGTTCTCCTCGAATGAATCCTGAATATGTGCTGTGGGTCCGCAGAAATTTGTATGCCACTGAAGCTTCTAGGTTCTCGCTGACTGAAGCTTGTAGCGCGGGATTTTTGCCTTTGGACACCGCTTGGCTTGAACAACTTCTGGATTCCAGGCACGTCCTTTTACATTCAAGGCCTGCCTAGTCCCCTGCCCAAAGCTTGCCTGAACTGAACACAAGCTTGAGCATCGAAGTGGATTGCAAGGCATAACTCCTTCATGGCCATTTGGTTGGATCTTCAGACTGTAACTTTTTGGGAAACAGGTCGGCTTTTCCATTGAACCCACAAAGGTGAAGCTTCAGAGGGGTCAACAGCAACCAAGACTCTTGAAGCAAAAGCATGTGAAGCATGGATCCCCTAAGATGCCATGTGATAGAATCGCTTCCTTGGCGGTCTTGAGGTTTCGTGCGTCCTGTGTGTTGCTGCCACGCCCTGCCGGCCAGAGTATTCCGATACCACACACACAGACAAGAGTGCCGGACTTTACATGAGTGGTTCAATTTTTAGGGAGCCCCCCCTTCAAGAAAGAAAGCAAGAACAAAAACAACAACAAGATGGTCGGTTTCTTTTTTGCGTCCCTTTAAAGCCAACAAAAAGGGGTACCGATGATGTGTGATTTTTAGTGGTACACAAGTTACTGTTTTGGGCCAATCCACTCAGGAAGTATGCAGGCTTGCGCTCTCCCAAACCACTGCCCCGGAGAAAATGGTGTATCTAGGAGCTATTTTGTCCGTACAGAAGGTTACATACCCGATTTCTCCCGAAAAGGGGTTTGCGGGTCGTGGACACTTTCTAAGACAGATGTTTTTTGGGGGACAGTGGTGACTTTCAGCAACTGCGCGCCAAAAAGCATGCAACGATGCAACACAAAAATGGTCACCATGTTCTGCGGAAGTTGCTGTTCATTGGGTTGACCCCCTTATTGAAGGACAAGTTTTGAGTTGAGAACATGGCTTCCCCCATAAACCCAACAACGTCGCCAGGCTTAATCCAGGGTCGGCAAAGTTTCCCCGAGGCCCTAGCGCCAAAATGAAGGTGGCTGACCAGGGGTGTTGATATTTCCCTGTTCTTTCCTGGCACGTGCCAGTTGCAAACCTCCGTGCCCTTGCCACAAGCTAGGCGCATTGGTTTCTTTTCCAAGAGCCCAATTCCATGTACCGGCATAGGTAAAGGGGACATGGTTGATCTAGGGAACTGGGACCTGGGATCGGTCTCAACATTGCGCCATCAGTTCACCGATTGCGGCAGCTGTTTCCTCGCCCAAGGCTTGTTTTTTTTTTTTGTTTGTTTAATCCGAAGGGCATGTGCAGGGGCCGGGGGGGGGACGATGGGACAGCTGCCGCAACCCGGAAAGTCGGCATATGGCACCACAAAGCACCACCAGCTCCAAACTCAAAGATTTCTTCGACATCTGTTTCCCCATTATCGCTGGAGATCTGATGATATGATCTTCCCAAGTACCACCCGCGCGGAAGGCACCGTGTACCTCGGCATGAAGCGCTTCTGCGGCAGGCGGCTCCCGGGTCTTGGGCGTTGAGCCGCGAGCAATTTCCGGGAAGTGCAAAACGTGCACGGCTTGGGGCCAGACCAGTTTTTTTACCAGGAGGTTTTGAGCATGGCTCCGGGTAGTGTCTTTGAACTGTACTTGAAATGGTTTCAGGATTGCGAAACCGCGGTGACTAGGCGGAGTGTCCTACTTCCGAGGGGATCGGCTTGTCAGTCCCACGTCGACATTACCAGTATGCATTGGTGGTGTACATTAAACAAGAATGCTTGGTACATTCCCTTTTAAGAAAGAGCACCATGGAGCATGTGTGTTGGAGGGAGCATCCGTGATCAACCGTAAATGTAAACGCACCCTGGCGCAATCAGTTGCCAATGAAACCGAGCGCTTGGGGTTCCGATGATATTTCCGCCAAAAGGGGAAATGGTCTGGCAAACTTTTGGTGACCCACAGGCATGGGGTTTCTGCAAAGAGGTTCTGTTCCGTTCTTTTTTTGGAAGAGTGTGTTCCAGTGGGCCCTCAAGGTTCCACGTTTGTTTCCTACGCAGGGGGGCTTCGTTTGAAGCCACCAGTGGATGCTCGGCGTTGCTTATTTGAGGGGCACCCCTCTGATTAGTACCTCGTTTAAGTCCGAAGTTCACCGTAATTTGCCCAGTTGCATAGGTGTCCTTTTTGGTGGTTTTTTGCTCGAAAAATCGATGGCGATCCCTGGTTTACCTGGTGGTTTTTCCTCATCTACCAGGGAAATCCATCCATTTCCCCTAAAAGGACACCTATGCCCAGTCGTGTGTCCCCATGTTTTCGCGTGGGCTCTGCGCAGGAAGGCGGGGCTGCTCAAGAGAAAGGCCAAGCTGAAAGAGGAGGCAGCTGCCAAGGAGGAGCCGAGGCGGGCTGATATTTCGCACGTTGACACGTGGGTTGCTTTTCTACTCTTTTGGAGGGGGAACCCGTCTAAGATTCAACTACCAAAGAGAGAGATTCCTGGAACCCCATTTAATTTTTCAACTACCAAAGAGAGAGATTCCTTTCCTTTGGGCAGAAAGGTTCGATCAGAATTGGACCAGAACCCTTCTAAGAAGGTAGTAAGCTTGGCTGGAAAAGTGGATATGGGTGACTTTGTGACTTTGATTTGCTCTCTTACACCCAGCAGGTTCCATCCTTCTCATGGCTTTAGTGTTTTTCCGGCAATATGAGTAGTTCAGTTTGGAAACTCGTCGATCATATTCAACTATTTTAAGTTTGTTTGGAAACGGCCCGCTGAGTTTCAAGCCCGTTCAGTGAGCAATCCCCCAGCCACGAAGCAGTCATGTTTGCATTCTTGCATTTGGCAAACTTGCTCGGCCGCATGCTTGGAGACTGAGTGACGGGCATGGCACCCGTTCATTCTGCCCTTGCAGAATGGAACTCCAAATGCTCTCTTGGGTACATAAAACGTGTATTTACTGAATTTTACCAGGACCTGTGCGTCCGCTAACTCCTTGTAGAATCACCTCAGAGGTAGGGTCCAAGCTCTTTGGAGATCTGTGCATCAGGTGGGTTCCCTAAATATTTCCTTTTGGGATGGTTTGACACATCACCTTTTGGGCAAGGCGAGTTTGCCTTACCCTTAGAAGGGACGATGTTTGAGGGGGAGATACAGGAAACCCTCTCAACGGGGAAACCAGAGACTGCCGGCGGAAGGATGCGCCGCGAAAAGCGGCTGAGCTCGATTGCTGACCCGCCACCTGCAAAGATAGCTCTCGAGGTCGAATTTCCCTTGATGAGAAGGCTAGCTTCGGATTGAAATGAGGCCATCAGAGGAATCAGCCTAAAGTGATTCGACCCCTGGTAAATACATCCTCCTCGTTTCCATCCAAAGTCGACATGAAACCATGCATTGAGCCTCTGCTTGTCAGCAGGGGTCAGGAGAGTTGAGTTGATACTCTCCTTCATCTGAAAGAACCCTGGGTCAATGGGCTTTTCACTGGGTCAAGGGGAGTTTTCAGGTGCAGATTGGTATTGACCCCTTTTCACAGGTCTTTTGTAAGAGAGCCTTACCGGGGAGAGCCTAATTCGGCGCACTTGCCGTACCCAGAATGAGTCAAGCGGGAGTCGGACTCTAATGTTGGGCTCTACGCTGTTTGGCGCTTGAAGTTTCAAAAGGCGGCCACGATGTTTTCTTATTTTGTGTTGTGCGAGCTTTTTTTTAAATCAAAAAGGAGGCGGAATAGGTGTCTCAACCTGGTGATCGCCTAACCCTGTCGGCCGCGCTTTCGCGTGACGGAGGTGTTTGGTGCGGGCACGGTCCAATAGGAAAAAGTCCAAGATCAGCCGGGCCCTCGAGTGACTGAGCCGCTTCTGTGTCAAAATGAACTTGTCGCAAAATAAGGACACCTCCTAAATTGATTTGTGTTTTTTGGTGTTCCAGCCAAACGCCAAAGAGGGTAACCTCCAAAAAAGACTCCCAAAAAGGGTGCTCGCCCTCAAAAGCAAACGCACGCACACAGAACCCGAGGGTTGGTGCGGCCCAACGGCCCCGAGCCGGACATTTTGGGGAGGTTTGACAAGATCAAAGCCGTAGAATTCTTGGCAGTTCCGAGCCGCCCGGTTTCTTAGCTTTTTTGGATTTAGTGGTTGGGTTTCCATTTAACCCACTAAAAGCTAAACTTTTTGCCGGGGATCTGAGGACACGCGCCCTTAGCTTTTAGGTTTTTAGTTGGTTTAGTGGTTGGTTTAACCCACTAAATGTTGATTGCTTCGAGTTCAAACTGGTGCAATATTTTTTCCATCCACACAAGGACCAAGCCTGTTTTTGTCAGTCTTGAGGTTGCATCGTCTATGCCAAGGACCTTGTGAGGCCAAGGGTGGGCGTTCCCGGTGCCGAAGCCTTTTGACACGTTTGGGACCTTCAAACGGAAAGAAACTGGGTGTCTCAGCAACGATGACTAGAAGGAATATTGGACACCTCCAATTGTGGGGTCTGTAAGCTTTTATGTTGAACTTTGCATGCATTCATGCCCACTTGATTCTTCGGCATGACTATCCTCGCATGATTACTTTTCTTGATTAATCTGTATGTGATCAACTGACCAGATTATCAGGGGGCCCCAATTTTCCCATGTTTGGCGGGAACACATATGTCTGTCCGGGTTTGTGGGCACAGCAATTACATTTCTCGTTTGGACAAATATTGGTTGATGACATTTAAAGGGATGCCCAAGCAAGGAAAACAAGTTCAAAGTTTGAACATACGTCAGCAAACCCAAACCTGATTTGAAGCTCCACCAAACCCTCTGCTAATCCCCTTTGTTTCTATAAGATTCGATTCTATAAGGAGGTTTGCAGCCAACCCCCCGCCCCCCCTTTTTGCCGTTTTCGCGAGTCGCTGTCATCCGCAGGTTCCAGCTAGCGCTGGGCAATGTCATGCGCCAGCAGATGGACTCCGCGTGGTTCGTTGGATGCTTTTGCCTCGCTGTTTCTGATTTCTTTTCGGCGAAAACGTCGACCACCCATCTCAACACATCTAGAGTCTAGACTTCAAGGGGAAACCAAAATCGCCTTCCACTTTTCAGCCATTGTTCTGTCCCATAGCAAAGAGCTAGGTTGTTTTCAGGGGCTTTCCGCAAAGAAGGATCCCTGGACAAATGGGAAGATGCCCTAGATGTCGATGTCGTTTCGCAGTTCACCCCGCCCTCGGTTGCGGGGCCCACTGGAAAATGGAAACCCATGTCGGTGTTATGTCCTCCAGATGAATAGGTTTGGCATTCCAGACGAATTGAGTTATCTTCCATGCAGGGTGTAATACCCAAACCCCAGTTCTTGGATTCTAGATCAGGGATCTCCAACCCCCCCCCCCCCCAAAGACCTCCGTCCGACTGGAAAGGTGTTACTTGGTTTCCCTGATGGCTCTTGCCATGTGGGCATGAGACATGTCCCAAAGGTGGCTTAGTGGTCTAAGCGAAATGTCCCAAAGGTTTGACAGTATCTATCATTTCTCCCCCAGCCTTCCTTTTTGTTTCCTTCGCAAGGGCCTTCCAAAGAGTGAGTGACCATGTTCCCAGGAATCTCAACCGATTGCAGCGCCGAAAGCCGAGTCCTCTTGGCCGTACCTAGCATTGCCTATCATGTGCATCAATGGGAATGACATTTTGATGTTTGGTTGTTTAGTTTGAACATTCTGGTGGCCCATCCAGTTTCTCCTCTGCAAATTCACGTGGACCACAAAAGGGCCCCCCAACAGAGATTCCTGGTTCCATGTGTAGGAGAGTAGGAATTTGGCTCTTCAAGAAGTGCCTGTCGAGCCTGCGCCGTACGACTCTGCGTTGCGCTGTGTGCAACGGGTGAAGGATGCAGTTTTTCCCAACCGCTTCAACATACAGTCCGGTTCAACCCCGAGAATTGTTTTGAGTTGAGCCAAAGGGAAACCAACAGGAGATGAGTAGCTGCGTAGTTCCCGATTTCGCAGAACGGCCCCAGCCCGAAACTTATACGTTTGGCGACCAGACTGGCAGCCATCCCTTGCCAAGGTGCTTTTGGCTGTTATTTGTGGTGGGGGAATTTCTGAATGGATCTCACTTGGTAAAATCTTTGCATGTGGAAGCAGCGAGTTGTTTCCTTGAACCCAGAGCATCCAGAGCCCATTTTTTAGCTCGGGGGGAAGTTTCATTCGGAAGCGAGAGCGACTGTTCACTTTGACAGCGCCAAACAAAGTGACACCATCAACATGCATGAGCCACAGTCAGAACACAAATATGTAAACATCAGGAAGGGATAGTCCCATGCCATAAACAGGTGTGCATGCATGCCCATTTGATTCTTTACCACGGTTTCTTTCAGTAAGTCGACCCTTTAAACATACCAGGCGTTGAGTGTGACTCCCATGATTGCCGCGCGAGGACGGGCTTAAAACCCGCGAGAAGACAAAGGAGGAGGGAGCTTGCGCCTGGAAGCGGACCCCTGCTTACCCTCCCCCGAGAATCATGGAAGCTGACAGGAAGGTTTTGGAAGACTACTTTCCTTTCGCGGAAGGCACCTGTCCACTTCCGTGATCAACATCGTAGGTTGTTGAATAATATTTGTTTTTATGGAATGGGTCAAAGCGCGTTTTTGGATTTGTCATGATATTGGGTCAATTCAATGGAAACCGGGGGGGGGGGGGGCTGTTGTTGGATGTGGCCTGAACAGCTATTTATGAATAGGGGTGGACTTGATACTAGGGGGAAGGGAGTATTTGCTCTTCCGCTAATTTGGTTGCAAAGGAGTTGGGTAAACTTAACCTGGGGGGGTCCTGTCAGAGGGATCGCCTTGTGCGATACGCATCGCGCGATTGGCTTGGTGTCAACAACAAACTGAGGTCCCGACCTCAATCAGCGGGATGACCATTCCAAAGAACCACTTGGGGATAGGTTGAGATGCCCACTCCCTCTTAGCCAATGCTGATGGGATACTCGGCTGTGGACACAGGCCACATGTGCCGAACCATCCAAAACGAAAGTAGTCTTGTCCATGCACCTCCATGTTTGATGTGTGCAACCAATGTGGTGCTCTGGGTTTGCATGGGCTAGGCAGCATCCATCACTGGCTCAACTTGGCCAGAAGCCTGGGTGGCTTTCCTCCCCTGCGCAAAAAAAAAATACGCTCTGGCTGACATGGTGGTTTGCAAAGATTCGACAGAGGTACAGGTCAAAACAAAGGTCCATTAAGAACAAACACCTTGGCTGCAAAAGCCGAGTTTTGCTCTCTTTGCGGAACCAGCCAAAGCGGGCCCCGGCTTTGTCATTCGCTTTTTGTTCTACACCGGCGGGTTCCGTCTGGTCCACTTGGGAACATGGGGAACTCGCCAGTCTTTTTGAAGAATTCCCACAACAGCGCTGGGTACTCACCAATTTTCATATGTCCTTTTGGGGAACACAAGTAAGTCCATGTGGGAAGGATAAATCGAAGGGCCACACTTTTTTGCGATCGTTTGTTTCAGGATTCGGAGAATGAGAGTGAGAGAGCGAGAGAGAGATTTCTGCGAGGAGAGACATAGAGAGAGGGAGGAGAAGGCGGAGAAGCGCAAAGCCAAGGTGCCCCGTGCCCAACCTGTGGATCCAACCTGGGTCCTCGAAATCGGTGCGCTTTCGCACCGCTTTGAAGCCATTGGACCCGGCGCAAACGGGGAAACCAGAAGGGGCAACAAGAAAGAATTAGAATGGAAGGAATGGGGCACCATAAAACCCATTTTTGGTTGTTGTGGGAGTATACTATTTGGACGTTTTATCCAGCCCCTGCATATTCCACCTGTGGGTTTTCCTGTTCCAGGGCCCAGCTTGTTGCCCTGAGGTCTTTGGGTTTTTTCTGTCCCAGGCATCAGCGGGGCCTTTGTTTTGCTAGCCGGGAGGTTTCCGCCTGCACCACTTGGATCTTTTGTCTGTTTTTGCAGACATCCGGTGACCCAACGTGTTCGGGGTGGGCCCAACGGCCAAAAAAGGGCGCCCTTTGTTCCCATGGAATTCCAACGGGGTGGGTGTTTTGGTGCTGGCAACCCATACCACCATTTCCAGGTCGTCAATGGGCAAGTGTTCACTGTCAAGCTAGTAAAGGGACCGAACTGCTAGGTGAATTTGGAGGGAGGTTGTCCAAAATTGGGGCCTTGTTGGTATCCCCTAGAAGGCAGCATGAGGCAGCACTAGGTCCGTAGTGGCGGCAAGCCCTCCGGTGGCTAGTCACAACATTCCCATGTCAGTTGGAGACAAGAACAAAAATATTGATGGCTTCGCTGCTTGGCTGAGCTGCCATCCTCACCCGGCTTCATCGAGCTGTCCCCGCCTGGCATCCGCTGTTTTTGAAATCAACCAATATTCCCCAGAGGATCCAGCTACCTCTGGCTTGTGCCAGGTGAAGAAAGGGATGATACGTCATTTTGCATATGGGTTTACACCATTTTTTAAGTCAGACCCCCCAAAGTGGTGGTTGTCCTTTTGGCTTTCCCTTTAAAAACGACCAAAAGATGGCTCCCCCCCCCAACAAAGAGACACCCATATTGGGCCAATCACCCTCCGCCTGTTTCTCCCTAGATACATACCCATTGCACTATTCGCACCTGCGCAAGGAACCGGTAGAGGGAATCGCCTGCAAATCTCCAGGTCCTTTGGCTTCCCTTCGGCTTGCTAGGCGGAGTCTGAGGGAGAGAAGAAGGAGGAGAAGAAGGACTCCTTCGCAACGAAAACAACTTCTAAGGGCCAGGATTCCTTTGACGTACAGTGGATGGACAAACATCCTTCACCGGCGTGCGTTAAGTGAATGCTAAAGGGGGCGAATGGATTCCTTTGGACGGCGCTCAACTGCTCGTTTCTTCAGACTTGGAGTTTTTGGAGTTTAGATTACGAGTTATCGCACTAGAAGTTTAACTTTTAGCAAGGGATCCACGAACCACCAAGCTATATATATATATATACACACACGCAATGCATCCCTATAAACTGGGGGTAGCTACCAACAAGTATTCCTTGAATTGCGACAACACCTCTAGTATCTCACCTCGAGCAGATCCCCGCGGTAGTACGCTTCCAACGCAGACCCCCAACTCAGCGCTTGAAAACAATCTTACCTGGAGCTCCCCAACAGATGGGCGGGAGTGCTCCCCCAAGGCTTAAGAAACTTAAAACTACAGGGGGCACAATCGCCCTCGTTTTCGCGCCTTGATGTTTTGACGTGTCTTGCCTTGTGCGCGGCTATTTTGCAGCAAGCCTGATGACACGTAGGCGAGTTGAGTTGGCGAGCTCTACGCTTTTGCTTGCAGGGCACCTTCAGATGAGTCCAGGCAACCGAGCAACAAGTCTTTGCTTAGCAGTTCCCAGCCATCCGGTTCCCGAGCCCACTAAGAGTGAAGTTTTGACCCATGCCCGCTCAGTCTTTTAGCGAGCCCCTCCCCTGTTCGCTTTGACTGGCAAATGGGAAGTCTCAGGGTGCATATTCTCCCGATGTTCTTGGCCCTGCTCTAGCTTCTCGGGCTGGTTTTGTGGTAAGAGCAAAGGCGACGCTAGTTGGGGAGTGCCCCAGATGTGCGCTGGCATGTCTCTTCCCCCCATGTCCTGTACCGAATGGTTTTCACAACCTTTGCTTCAAGGGGCAGTTTAGGTCTATGGGGTTGTCCTTTTTTGAAGGTACCAGTGCCCTTGTTGGGGCTGGCTTATGGGAAACTAAAGGGACCCCCCCGATTTTTGGGTTAGCCTATTTTCAGACAACTCCATTCCATCTAGGGGACTTGCAGCCAAGTGTGTTGCTGCCATGGTGAGCCAGTCGATGAAGGTAGATGGCAGAACTTCGTCATTTTGGTTTTCCCCTTGCATGGGATTGTGCCGGGCATCGTCCACTTTCACCCTGGTGTAACTCCCAAACTGGAAAGGACTGCCCAAGTAAGAAACCCGTTTGTGTTCATCCGAAAGGAACCCATTTGTTACAATCCATTCCCTGCTTGGAAAGTTGAGCAGCGCCCAAAACCCGTTGTCTTTTGGTTCTACTGGCTTGCTTACAAAGGTTTGTGTATGGTTGCGATTTCCGTTCGCACCACGAAATGAAACAATGGTTCAAACCATTGTTGCTTGGTATTTACGTTGGGGAATCGAATCATAGGGTTTCTGAACGGTACGAAAAGCGGATTTCGCAACAATCCACAGTAGAACCCACCAATAACCCAGACGGTAGAACCCTCCTACTATGGCAATCAGAGGTTTTGGGCGCTCAGTTCCTGCCTGCCAGGAGGTGAAGAAAGATCAGCCCGCGAAGAAGGCCAAGAAGGGCAAGAAGTGAGACGTTTGCAAGTGCAAACGGGTTTGTAGGCTTGGTTGTGTTCGTTCTTCTCAACGCTGGGATGTGAAAGTTATTCTAGGTTTTAACTGCACAAGGAAGGATTCAGGAAAGCCAAGGGTGTCGACCCACTAGAACGAGTACCACGCAGAGATTGAGCGAGAAAGCTCAGGAAAAGTCCGCGGGGTCTGCGGGGTCGGGGAGGGAGTGGGAAGGCGTGAGGGGAGGGAACTCAACCCAAGCGTTGGGTCGGGTTCCCACTAAACCACACCCGAAGACAGGGAGCTATAAATCCTCCACCACTGGGGGTTTAGGATGATTGGGGCAATACCCTCAAAGAATTCTGGTTGCACGAATGGCAGGCCAGAGACTTCTTAGGTTGGCAGCGACATGCCCAAGCTGGTGTGTCTTGCCCCCAAACGTGAAGCGTTCAGGCTCGGCTCCTTGGTTTTCTGTTCAGAGAGACCCTCGCCAGTACGGAACCCCCTACAAATACAAAGTGTTTGTTTTTTTCTCCGGCCCCTGTCCGGTGGCATTTTCCGCGAGCCTTGGAAACGAGCGACAATTCATGAAGGTTTTTTGGTTGAGTAGAAAACATTTGCCCCATGTGAGCGCCGAACACCCTCATTGGAGTCCTTTGAGCAGGTGGCCGGGTTTACTGCTTGGTTGGAGTTTTGTAAGCATTTCTAGCCCATGTTAGAACCTAAGGTCAATGGCGGTGGGCGTTCGTGTGAGTTTTGATTAGATCCAGTCATCTATGGTCAATTTGAGCGGAAATCTTGCTTGTGGCTCACTCAATTTCACTCCACACGCAGAGGGAGTCACGGATTTCCCACGTTAGAGATGCTTCACAATAGGTGTGAAATAGGGCGGGCCTTCGTTGTGTTTCCTCTTCAGACAACTCTAAACGGGCCTCAACAATCAGAATGGGATTGCAAGTCATGATCAGAGAATGTGTGACTGTTCAGCCGATCGCACTCTGCCAAAATGCCCACCCATGTTTTGAGGCTCAGTGTTTTCTTGAAGCCTTTCAAACCAACCCCCTTTGCAAGCAAGCGCCGCATTAAACTTCTAGTGGCTGGGCGGAACATCCCAGATTGAATGTGCGGTATGCACTTCTGAGGCTTTCGCACGAATCGTTGCCAGCCAAAAAGTCGGAAACGTCGCCCCCCGTTTTTACCGGTGCCATTGCTGCGGCTCGGCAAGCTTATCCCGATGCCTGAGACGCGAGATCGGCTCCAGTCGAGAAACCGCAAAACGATGGGCGTGCCCACTTCGGCCACGGAGCGATGGCTCCATTGGACGGCGAAGACCCAGGAAAACGGGGAACTGGGGAGGGACAGGTTGGTTGCAAAACATGTACTTCTGGCCCCTTCTCCCCGTTAAGGGTCGCTGTAAGCCACTAGTCTTTTTTTTTTGTGGCGATACGAAACCAGGTTCTTCAACCGCTAGCGGCGCAAAGCAGGGTTTTGACGGGTTGAATTCAACAGGGAAACGGGTTGGCCATCGGCAAACCCAGCTCACTGCATTTCAACCAGAAAAACTCACAATTGACATGGGGGGGAACCCCCAAAAGATGGCGATTTAGTTTCCTGTTGCGTTTCCCTTTTCAAACGACCCCCAAGATCGTGTAAGCGCATAGACAATGAGAATGGGGTTGTGTGGTGCTGTCATGTCATCAAGTCATGATCATACGCGGACAAAATTGTGTGTCTGTGTGTGGTTCAGCCCTTGGTATTAAATCTGGCACACCCAAGTTTCCAATGAGCCTACGGGAACATATCCAAGTTATGCAACAACTAACGAAATGTCCAAGGGTTTGGTGCACTTTCCTGAAGCTTCTTGTTCCCCTATTTCTTCTAGGGGTTGCTAAGTTGATTAGCAATCTCAGTCAGGGTGTAGACTTCAACCTAGGAATGTGGCTCCCCTGATTTGTGTAAACAAGTGTGTGTTTTCTTTTGGGGGAGCCCCAAAATAGTGGCTTTCCTTTCGGTTTTCTTTTGACACCACCAACCAAGGGCTACCGAGCCTGGAGCCCATGTCCGGCTTGCTCCGAGCCGTAAGAACATCCAAACGCCGTCTGGGGCCTCGGATCCCAAAACCGGAAAAAATGGCTGCCCTGTAAAGGGGGTCCCACAAAAGGAGCCTCTGCAATTGGTTCATTGGGTTCCATCTGAGTCTGGGGGCCATGTTTTAAGGGTGAATCGCGTTTTTTGTTTTTTTGTGGGCCAAGGTTGTGGCCGAATTGGACGGTTTCCTTGGGGGAAGCTAACTAAACCAACCAAGTTTCCACCCTTCGTTCTTCGGAGTAACTCTTAACCTTGCAGTTTGCCGAGTGTCCTGTACCGATCATTGAATGACACATTTAACTCCGCACAAATAGCAGACCACCCAAATTTGTAAGCAATACGAGTTCAACATTTGAACCCCAGATTAGACAAGTAAGTATGAACACGATTTCCGTATTTGATGTTCACATGTTACATAATGCAACATTGTTCACATATCGACAGGGATATTCTGCCATTTACTAGGTCAATCTCTTTCCCATTCATACCGGGCGCCTAATAATGGCAAGTATTTCAATTTCCAAAGTCCGCAATACCACATTGATTCTGGTTCTAAACCAATGCTAACCTGCAATTTGCCCGCCAATCTCAACTCTAGTCGTAGGAGGCCCTCCAGCAACAGCTCTTTATTTCATTTTTTTCGTTCTTTCTTTCTTTCTGTCTTTCTTTCTTTTTTTCTTGCCATTCTTTCTTTCTTTCTTTCTTTCTTTCTTTGCTTTCTTGGCTTTCTTGGCTTTTTCGCACGTCTCGAAGTGATGCCTTCGCTGGACAGGAGCCCGTGGATGCTGAGGCGGGCAATCCAAAGTGCGGTGAAGGTTCAGCCCAAGGTCCTAATGTTGACCCCGGATGAATAAACCCATCCTATTAAGAGGGGGATGTTCCCCTCCAAAAGCGATGAATCCCCACCAAAACAAGGACAGCCCCTATTCATCAACCAGGGCTTCATGAATCCGAGGTGTTTTCGTGGGATTCGAATCTTAGCGAGTGATCAGGCGCCTTTTTTGGGGCTGATCGGGTTCCTTTGGTGCCTTTGGAGGTGGGAGACCCAATGGAGAGCTCCGACCCCAGGCATCCCTCGAAAGCAACATCCCTCGAAAAAAGGAAAAGAAGAAGAAAGAAGAAAACACGTGGGGCGCCGTATGGTGGGAACGTGATTTTTCCCCTAGCTGAAACCAAGTTGGAATGTTGTTCAGGGGTGCTATGTTATGTAAGGAATGTTTATTCAGCTGAATGATTCCGACAAAAGCATGTGATGGAAAGTGGCGAGTCTATGGGGATTGCTCTGGGATGGTGCTCTTCACATTTCTTGGTTGTGAACATCATGGATCATTGGGGTGTTTCCCCCGCAAAACCAAAGGATTCATTCATTCCCTCTTAAATGGGACCCGCCCTCTCAGAATCAATCAATCAGAGTCTTGGTTGTTGCAATTTTCGGGCTCTGGCCGTTCGTTGCAAAAAGACCAGCCTTTGGAAAGCACTCCAGTGGTCGGGAGGTTCTGGCGAAACCGAGGGGAATTTGAAAGAGAAGCCAAAAGGAAGCCGACCATTTCGAAGGTTCCATTCCTATCACAAGGGGCTTCCGGAATGTAGCGCGGGTGTTCGGCTTTCAGTAACCCCGGGCTCCCTTTTTGCCTCCCCAGGCCCATGGAATACCCATATTTTTGTTGGTTCCGGGACCTCACTAAAATTGGGTGGTGTTCTTGTTGGCACGAGTTCCACTGAGCAAGTTCTCCAGGCAAGTTCTCTCCTCCCTTTCAAACCAAAGAGAAGTAGCTCAACAAGACGGGCCCATTTGAGCCACAATCAAAACTTGGGTGGATGAAGGTTAGTAAGGGACGATCCCAGCCAGAAATTGCTGCGACTGCCTTAATTCTTGAAGCATGGTTCTGGGTCAACCATTTTTTTCCCGAATCGGTTTTGATTTTGTCTCATTGCATTTCGGTTCAGCTTGCGAGTTGGATCTCTCGCTTAGGAGTTCCCCAAGACCTTCAGCCTGGAGGGGCCCATCCCTTACTGGCGGGTCGGCTCGTCAGAGGCGGGGGTTTCGGTTTGGATGGGGTGGGAGGGGCCGGAAGTGTCCCGGTTTTTCTCGTTCTCGGCGTGTTTTTGTTTCGGTCCTTGTTTTGACCTATGTTGTTGGTTTTGCTCTTGGTTCTTTGGTTCTGTCCATGTTTTGTGTGTGGGGCTGCAAGAGAACGGTTTTCTGTCCAACATGCCATGGGTGAGAAGAAAACAAGCTGGGGAGTTGAACGGGAGGGCGAAGCCGGCCCAGCTCAGTTCGCTCGCTTTCCAAGAATCGCGGCACGCAAACAGTTCGAATCAGGGCTGTGGGAAATGAGCACTTTTGTACCGCCAAATGGGCTTCCCAAAGACTAGTCCATATTTTAGGGGAAGATTCCCGCAAGTATCACAGAAGTGGTCGGATAAACCCCGAGTGATCCCACTGGAGTTCGAATCCACTTGTGTCGGTCTCTTGACTCGGGAACCATCTCCCTGGTTTTTTTTTCCCCAGCGAATCTGGTCCGGTTCAACTTAGCCTTTCGTTTTTGTTTTTTCAATAAATAGTTGGATTAGTAGGGTTTCCATCTAACCCACCAGCTTTTCAGGATCGGCAACAAGAGGTGAGTTGTTTCCTCGCGGGCCCGCCTTGGGAAACTCGGCGTTTCTCGGACCAATGCAGCTGGCACTCGGCTTGTGCTGAGAACCGCTGGACATCGGCGTTGATGGAGCGACTTGGCGCTGCACCGGTCACTGACACCTGACCTACCTGCAGTCGACTACCTGCCCGCAGTTGTGGTCCAAGATTGTAAGAGGATCTCCTCGACCGCCGGGCGGAGAACTTGAGGGGTTCAGCTTGAACACTCTCTTCCTCACAAACGGAAGTGGGTTTTCCCCACTGTTCGGCTCGAGGGCGACACTGCTATGACACGCACAGGCTGCTTTTGCAGCTCGAAGGCAGCCCTCCTTGGCTTGGAAACCCCAAGCGGGTGCAGGGTGCTTTTGTGATGCTGCAGGTTTTCTTTCAACATCTTGGGCCCGCATAACATGCTATTGGTGACTTGTAAAGGAGGATGGGATGCCAAGCAGGGAGCATGAAGCGGCTCAGCTCACTTGCACTGCTCAGGGGAACTTAGCGAGAGCCGCATGTGCCACAGTGAAACATATGATTTTGCTTGGTGCAAACCAGCTTGTAATATGACTCTCTTGCCTTTACCAGCGCAGGAAGGCGCTTGCCAGAGGGTCAGAGGGTCAATGCCTTGAGAAGCTTGCCCGCTCCAAGCTTTTGGCTACGCCTGGCGCGCCAACTCACGTGACTCAACTTCCATGTGGGGGTTGTCCAAAGAGGATCTGTGTTTCTTATTTGGCAGGACGCTTTCGTGGAGGGCGCCTGGGAGGTGCGGGGGTCTTCCCTCTAGGCTCAAGTTGAACCGCTAAGGAACCTGCGCCAAAGCCCACGAAACTGCCAACTTGGAAGTGCTCCCAGCTTTTTGGGATATTTGCCAAGAATGTCCCAAAGGCTTTGGCATTTCTCGCTTTGTGTTGTAGTTTTTTGTTTAATCGATGGTGTAAGAAGCGTTTTTTTCTTCTTTTTTTCTTTTGGTTTTTGTTGGTTGGGGATGCTTTTCATGGCTTTGTGTTTTTTCTGGCGGGGTGTCTCCCTAAAGAGGGCGTCGGCCTCGAAAGCGCTGCTTTGCAGGTGAAGTCAGCCTACATGGGCGTCAGTGTGGGCCCCGTCTTATTTCGCGACGTCGCCCAAAGTGAAGGTTCTTGGGTTTCCTTTCATCAGATTAAGTAAAACCAGGAGAGTTAGGAAAATAAGAAAACACAATCTACAATACGAGAAGTCAACGTGATGAAGTCACAAGGATGCCCCGATGTTCAGCCTTCTGTTGGGTTCATAAAACTGGGCAACCCAAAATTCGCTGGTTTGCAACTGATGAGACTCCTGCTTCAGCATTGCAAGGTCTGTGGTCAACCATTCTCCTGGGACACAAGCGGACGATAAACCTTGCGGTTGACTGTAAAGTGGATAGTCCCAGCGTTTTTTATTCGCCGAATCCTTTATACTCCCAAACACCTTTTGCATGGCTTCTGTGTTTATCTTTTTTTGAGGGACCCCTGAGGATGAGGTGTGTCTTCCTAGTTTTTTTTAGGTCCCTGGCGCTAAAGCAAAACACACCTCTACCCCTAAATGAAGGGCCCGCCAACCACCATAGGGGTAATCAAGGTGATATTGGACTTGCCTTTTTGCCTTGTAAATATTTTTCGCATGTGCTGTTTTGCGGGCCATTTGCCATGTTACTCCATGCGAATCAGTGTAAACAAAGCTTCAGTTTTCGGCTCCAGGTGTCTCAGCTAGCAGCGTGCGATAACTCTAACACAGAGTTTCTTGTTCTTCCTTTTTTCCCCAACAGCTGAAAGCTAAGGGGTCTCAGCCCAGATAAGGTTTGGGGGTGGCTTGGGGAGCTCTGGAGTAGGTTCGAGCAAGGTTCCGGAGGTTCCGGGGATGTCTGGTGCAGGCCAGGTGTAAGGTTCAAGGCAGGTTCCGGAGGTTCCGGGTGGTCTGGAGCAGGCCAAGTGCAAGGTTCAAGGAAGGTTCCGGCGGTTCCGGGGTGGTCTGGAGCAGGCCAAGCGCAAGGTTCAAGGAAGGTTCCGGCGGTTTCGGGGTGGTCTGGTGCAGGCCAGGTGTAAGGTTCAAGAGCTAGGTGTAAGGTTGAAGCAAGGTTCCGGAGTTTCCGGGGTGGTGCAGGCCAGGTGAGGTTGAAGGAAGGTTCCGGAGGTTCGGGGTGGTCTGGTGACGGCCAGGTGTAAGGTCCCCCAACACCTCAAACCTTTGAGGTCTCAGGGCAGATGGGCTCCGGGGTGGTCCGGGGCGGTTCTGAGGTAAGGTTCCACGAGGGTTCCACCAAGGTTCCACCAAGGTTCCACCAAGGTTCCACCAAGGTTCCACCAGGGTGCCAGGCTGCGGGGTGGTGCTGTTGGGGATATCACCTGAGCTTATTGTTTTTGACAATTATCATTAGGTCTTAATTGTGATTGGGAAAGGAACTACTGCTTAAGTTCTAGTTGGAACTACTTTGTTCCTTTTTGAATTCTATTTTATTCCACTCACTACTTTAACTTAGAAAACCTATTTAGAAAGGAATTCCTATTCAAACTAGGATTTGGAATAACAATTCTATGTGACTTATTTCTATATTCAATTCAACTCAGATTCCAACAGCATGTCAATGAACCCTATTAGAAACATATTCCGATTGGAAGTCTAACTCGAAATGGACATTTCAATTCCTCAGTTATTACGTCTACGTTCTATCCAAACAGGAGCCGGGCTGTCCCGTCTAGACCCAATCGAGGCGGCAGCTTGCTGATCATGGGGCCCAAGTGGAACGCGGGGGAGCCAAACCGGCCATGGAGGGCAGGCACTCCGAAAGTGACTTTGTTGCAGATATTCAGCTAGGGTGGTGGCATTGCAGGTCATCAGCGGGGGCCTATGTGCGAAAGAGGGCTATGGCATGTGCAGGTCGGACGTCCAGCTCCCCAAGCAAAAATGGGTGTGGCTCAAAATCAATCAGCTAGGGTTACGCAGGTTTTAGTTCTTGTTTCCATTTACCAGAGTTCCATGTACCACAGCCAGATAGCGGAGCCTGATGACCAAAAACAATGCTGTGGATGCACGAAATCCTGCACCTTTGAAACCCTGGAATGATGATTTCCCTGTCCATACCCACAAACCATGGTTTCCCTCGTTTCAATGTGGTGCCAAATGCATTTCGTCCGTCCACTGTAGGTGTTTGAAACACAGGAGTTGGCCCACCCTTATTGACACACCGCAGCCAAAGTCAGCCGGTTTCCTTGTAGGGTTGTCCCACTGCGGGGATCCGGCAACCCGTTTTGCACCCAGCTACGGTGGATGCCCCCTGCCATATTGCAAGAAAACCAACCATGCTCAATGCGGTAAACTAAGCGGTTTCCTGGTTCCCTTACTGGCGCTGGTGTGGGTATGCTTGTTCAAAAGCAGCGGACGTGTCCTATCCAAACGGGCGTCTTATGGCACCAACAACAACGCGGGACACGACGGAAGCTCAGAGGTGGTGCACGACTTCCTGGACTTGTCTCACCTTGTGAGCTCCGTCATGGGCTCCATGGTTTGCTTGTCCGGTGGCCGCGGAGGCGATGGCGCAAGGGAGCGAGGGAGCGAAGGAGAGGCGACGAGAGAGGCAGTCACATTGCCGGACGCACAACTTACCCGCTTTTGACTGTTCGCTTCTTGTGGTGTATCCATTTTCAATTTCACGCTGTAAACAGTCGACTTTGCGCGGCTCTAAGTCTGGGCAAGGTCTGTGCGTCCGGCTCCAATGCTTTGGACGTGGGTCCCAAGTGACACTCTCAAAATCCGAGCTCAATGGTGGTTGCGAGGGAGACCCCCCAGTCAGCAGAACTTTTGAGAATCTGTCAACTGTATTCTGGATGTGAAAAGAACAAGCAAACTAGGCCCCCCTTCAGAACCTCTGACAATGTCGGGACGTGAAACGCACAAACAATCTCTGGAACCCCACAACCCTCTATTTTCCAGATGGGCCATAATCAAAACCTGGGTAGATGAAGGTAAGGGGCAGTCCCAGCCGGAAATAGTTGCGGATATCCGCCTTTCTAATTCTTGAAGTATGGTTCTGGGTCAACCATTTTTGTACCGAATCGGTTTTGATTTTGACTCCTGCGAGTTGGAGCTTTTTCCTAAGCTCCCAACTCTTTGCGGCGATCCGGAGACTGGCTCTTGGGACCCCAAGGGATGCTGGCACCTGGAGCTGCTGGCTGGGTTTGGTTTGGACGGATTCCACCATCAGCAGAATTGGATATATATATATATATAAATTCAGATACATATATGTATGTATGTGTATGTATATAAATACATATATATATATATATATGTATATATATTCACGTATATGCATGTTTTTATATGTATAGCATACAACATTTAATCGCACACGATTGGGGTCTCCGCGCACCAGCGAAGCAGCCCCCAAAACTAGCAGGTTTCCCTGATGTACCTTAAAGCAACATCTTGAATAGGATATGGACCCCCCCTCCCCTCCGCCAAAAAGAAACCAAACAAACAAACAAGCAAGCAAACAAACAAACAAACAAACAAACAAAGAAACAACAACACACACACACAAAAAGAACAAACAAGAACCAAAAACAGTGGTTGGTTTTCCCTTGCCAGTCAACGCCAGGGGGAAAGGACATCGTGATGCGGCTCTTCCTGGCAGACCCCAGCAGCGCGCAGCAGTGGGCAGAGCAGCTGACCGCCCGGGAGCCATGCTTTGAGCCGGGTCTGGGGACAGTGTGGCAAGTTCCTGCACATAGCTGTGGGTCAAAACCGTTTTGGGATCCCATTTTGGTTGGTACGTGAATTCACCACCCATTTTAGAACCTATTTTAGTGGGGATTGGGATGTTCACTGGGGGTACGGGCTATTGACCCATGGCCACGTACTTCCATGGCACTTCTCCAGCAAGAGGTGGTAGTAGTCAGAGTTCTCATTGATGATGTGCATGGAGTAGTAGCTTCTCCCTTTTACCAACTTCTGGAGTTCTTGAGATTTTCTGTTTAGATTCCTTGCAACTTACTACTCCCTTTTAACACTTTATCAACTGGGGCCAGCACAACGAGAATTGACTTGAGAAACATGAGTGCAATTATTCAGCCCTTTATATTACTTTACATGTCAAGATCTACTAAACATAGTAGCCGAATCAATCACACAAAATGGTTGGCAAGCTGACCAAAGGGCAGATTTCCTTGTATCCTTGTGCTAGAGGCTTCCATTTCGCTTTGCTCTATATTTTTTGCAATGGTTTGAGAGCAGTGAGTTTCAAAGCCCTCAAAGGCACGCATACTGCGTGGGGTGTCGTTTTGTATTTATGTCAACCCCGGCTACTGTGGTTGATTTTGATTGTGGTTGGTGTCCCCTTTTAGAGGGAATCCATTCGGATCACTTTTGTGGGCGACACCCTCTATTAGTATGACGGCTTCATTGCTCCGGGGTCAACATGCTCGGGAACCAATTGTGTACTGCTGGGCCAGGGTCAGAGCAACCTTGGCCAGGAATTTCGAGTCTTAGTTGAGAATGGAAGAAGACAAGGGACTGAGCCACGCTAGGCTGAGATTCGTTGGTTGTGCTTTGGGTCTCTGAAGATCTCACGTCTCTCAAGACGCAAACCACGAAGAGACCCGAAATAGCACAAGGGGCAGTTGTCATGTGGCCCGGCAGGAGGGTTTGGGATAGAAACCAGCCTGGCGGGTTGTAGCAAGCCAGAGGAGTTTTTCCATGAGCTGTCAGAATCTGCACAAATTTCGAGCTCATCTTCCCTTTTTGTCCCTCCCAAATGGATAGACAGCTCCAGGTGCTGACCAAATCTGTTCGGTTGAGATTCCGACTGCGAAGTAGCTGTCACCAAGGCCGGGAGCTTCAAGCAGGTGACATCCACGCTGGGCGCTCAGTGCACGGGCCTTTCTGCAGCGAAATGGGGCGACTTTTACGGTGGACGCTTCAACCAGTTGCGAGTACACCAACCGTGCTCAACCATGAAACCATGGGAACAGCTGAACGCAGTTCCACTTCCAGCGTACAGAGGCAAGTCGCGGCGGCCGAGGTACATTGACCAGCTGAAGGAGTTGATCTTAAAGAACCAGAAGGCGAGTTCCGTAAGCCAAATTCCAAAAATCCACAACCTTGTCTTTTGATCCGGATCATGCCCACTTCCCCTTGAAGCCAACAGAAAGCAAAGAACCATATCTTTAAGCAACTCTTCCAGTGGTCATGTCTAAGAAGGAAACAAGTGGCTGAGAAACCTCAGCTTTCAGTATTTGAAAAAACATCCTGTGGTTTTCTCCTTCCTCTGTTAGAGGCTTCCAAGTCTTTTTCTACCGGGTTCACTGGTTGCGCAACTGGGTTTCCGGCTCAAGCCGGGCGTTTTTCACTGGTTCTCGGGACGGGTTTGGAATGAGCTTGATTCATAGGGGTCGTAACCGTCTTCACCTTGGTAAGGGAAGCCAAAAGAAAACCGATATTGTTCGGGGTCCGGTCCCCCTATTTTGATGCCCATACGCAGTAGCTTTCTAGAGCTGTGGATGGCGCGAAATCCATTCGCGCAGCCGATCAGAAACCGTGGAATTATTCGATTCGAGCAATGATTTCTCATGGTTTCTTAGGTGGTGCGAACGGTTTTCACAACCATCCACAGTGTATTGGGCGGTCAAATCTTCCCCCACCAGGGTATGGACCGCAGGTTTGAGTCCTTTCCATTTGCCAGACCAAGCATGCGTTCCCATTTTTTGGGGTCACCAACTCTTTTTGGGGTCACACCCATATTTGTACCCTATAGTTTCACGGGTCCTTTTTCGCTTGGCTTCCCGTCCGTTTTGCGCTTGCGCTTGGGACGCGCGGGCGGCGCGGGCAGGCGGCCCGGCGCCAGCTCTGGGCGGCCCGCTTCGGGCGGCTCATGGAGAGCCTCTGTAGGCGGTCGGGCGGAGGTCGGACGGAGGTCGGTGAATCGGATGCGGTTTCGGCGCTTCCCGATGCGGTTGCTCGGCGATGCTTTTCGGGGAAAGGAAGAGGGAGGTCTAGGGAGCCCTGAGCTCTCTGAAAGGAACTTTGGTAGATCAGGTTAAACCAACCCCCTGCCAGTTTGGGGAAGGCTTCTCAGCTGAAAGTTCAGTATCTCACTTCCTGAGTCCCTGGACGTGAATCGCTTGGGCTTGGACCATGAACATTGTAAGTCAAAAGCTTGGTCTCTTTTTGCACAAAATCCACTCAGGAAGTGAGAAAACGTGAAGCTCGCTTACTTCGTTTCTCGGGCTGAAAAATATGACATTTACAGAACCAGATTGAATATGTTTGCTGGTGCGTGGTTGGTTGAATCGGCCGCTGGTGGTTGGAGTTGTTGCGTATCACTTGCGAGCCATGAAATTGCATCCGCGGTACTCGCAGGCTCCATGGCCGGTTCAGTTTTGGAACCTTGCTTGTCACAAGACCTTCAAGTCAACGGGCACTTGCAAACGGGGCAAGGGTAACTTTGTCATAGGGCACTCCCTTGAAACAACTCGTCTAGTCAGGATTGTCCATTCGGGTATGACATGTTCTTTTGTGTTATTCCCACGGGCGAAGGGTTTGCGATGAATCAGGTAGCTCCGAATTGGTTTGGATTGGTGGTTTGGATCTGCTTGCAAAGGGTAACTGGGGTTCCCCACAAACCACCTATCCCAACCACCAATTAGAGTGAAGGTGAATGGAGCCTTGCGACAATTCCCAAGACAAAGCCACGTGAGTCATCAAAGAACCAACCAATGGCAGCGCGGACATCTGGCCTTTGACTCTCTACATGGTGGGTAGACTCCTGGTCCCGAGCCGTGGAACCTACAAAGGTCGCCCATTCGCAACCCCGCCTTCCAGAGTGGATGTTTGGGGCTGCCAATCTGACAGTCTTCCATTTGCTGAAAAGAATACGTTGTACTTTCCCTATTGGTTTTAGAGGGAATCTATCATTACTGAACATAAATGGACTCAAGCAAATGGAGCGAACTGAGAGTAGTCTTCCAAAATCATTCTTGTTGGGCTAAGACGCAACAGGAGCCCATGATTGGCTGCTTGGAAGCTCTTTTCTTGTAAATCTCGAGCAACCGCCCCCTCTGCCAGTTAGGAGGTGTCTCAACTGAAACCAACCTTCGCAAAGGCTCGAGGGACATTTTAGGGGCCGCTTTTTCAAATGGCCCCGTTTGGATCCTGGGCAAACTTTCAGTGAGCCGTGTCGCTGTGCCCCTTTGAAAGCGCTGCGATGCTGCACGTGTGCGTGGCTGCGTGGAGACGTGAGTCGCGGCCACCAGACGGTGGTCTTGGCAGCCCTCCGGCAATGCAGTCGTGTTGCCCTTCATCTCAAACCTGATAAGAAACGTCAGGTTTTCCCCGCCTGGCAGAAAGGGCTTCCACATCCCACCGAGTATCCCGCCAGAGCAGCTCGCCAGTGGATCCCGCCGAGTATCCCGCCAGAGTAGCTCGCCAGTGGATCCCGCCAGAGCAGCTCGCAAGTGGATCCCGCCGAGTATCCCCGCCAGTGGATCCCGCCGAGTATCCCGCCAGAGTAGCTCGCCAGTGGATCCCGCCAGAGCAGCTCGCCAGTGGATCCCGCCGAGTATCCCCACCACTGGATCCCGCCGAGTATCCCGCCAGAGTAGCTCGCCAGTGGATCCCGTCAGAGCAGCTCGCCAGTGGATCCCGCCGAGTATCCCACCAGAGCAGCTCGCCAGTGGATCCCGCCAGAGCAGCTCGCCAGTGGATCCCGCCGAGTATCCCACCAGAGCAGCTCGCCAGTGGTTTCCGCCGAGTATCCCACCAGAGCAGCTCGCCAGTGGTTTCCGCCGAGTATCCCACCAGAGCTGGTTTCCGCCGAGTATCCCACCAGAGCACCTCGCCAGTGGATCCCGCCGAGTAACCCGCCAGAGCTCGCCAGTGGATCCCGCCGAGTATCCCGCCAGAGTAGCTCGCCAGTGGATCCCGCCAGAGCAGCTCGCCAGTGGATCCCGCCGAGTATCCCACCAGAGCAGCTCGCCAGTGGTTTCCGCCGAGTATCCCACCAGAGCAGCTCGCCAGTGGTTTCCGCCGAGTATCCCACCAGAGCACCTCGCCAGTGGATTTCGCCGAGTATCCCGCCAGAGCAGCTCGCCAGTGGTTTCCGCCGAGTATTCCACTAGAGCAGCTCGCCAGTGGATCCCGCCGAGTATCCCGCCAGAGCAGCTCGCCAGTGGATCCCGCCGAGTGTTCCACCAGAGCGCCTCGCCAGTGGATCCCGCCGAGTATCCCGCCAGAGCGCCTTGCCAGTGTATCCCGCCGAGTATCCCACCAGAGCAGCCCGCCAGTGGAACCCCCTCCGAGTATCCCGCCAGAGTAGCTCGCCAGTGGATCCCGCCGAGTATCCGACCAGAGTAGCTCGCCAGTGGATCGCGCCGAGTATTTTTCTGAGTATCCCGCTGAGTATCCCTTGCCGGTGGATCCTGTGGATCCCGCCAGTATCCCGCCAGCGCAGCTCGCCAGTCTGGTTTTGCAAAATGTCCCGCCCCGGCGCGCAGTTGGGTTTACATGTCATGTTGGTGCCTGCGTGTTTGGAGTGTACCCTGAGAGGTTCGAAAGGGTGACGCTTTTGTGTTGCTTTGGGTTGTGAATAAGCAGCTTCGTTTAATGCCCCGTCGGGTTTCTTTTTGGAAGGGGCTTGGCTTTTGTTAACGGAACCGATGTTTGAAATCTCGAGATCGGCTCGCAGACAAGTGGAGTTTGACACACAGACAGGTGGATAAGGCTCTCAATGCAAAGCTTGTTGAGCAGCCCCAAGCCACTCGAGAACCATGCTTGAATTCACACAACCGTGTTCACGGTCGTAAGCTCGTGATTGTAGAGGGTGGGGATTGCTTGAAGCGAAGTATTTTGTTGTTGTTGTTTTTCCCCACCCGGCAGGAAGGGGTTGTTAGATTTTATGTTGGAACCCGCGATTGCGATGCTTCTGTCTAGCATTTGGCGTCCTTCCTGTCGGGTGGGGAACAAAAACACAACAAACAAAAACACGGGTACCCTCAAAAAGGGAGCCTCCAAGTCGACGGCCAGGGATGCGGACGCGGAGCGGCGGTTGCCGCAGGTCCAGCCAGCACCTCAACCCGGATGCGCCCGTTGAATGGCAAACAACCAGGGCGATGGGCCGCCAGAAAACCAACAAAAGACCACCCAAAAACCACCAAAAGTCACAAAAACCGCCAACCACAGTTGAAATTGTTCCACAACTCTTTTGGGATCCAAAAACAGCAGCCAAATCAAGAAATTGTGGGACAGTTTCAGGGAACCTGCGATCTGAAAGGCTGACTCTTGGAAAATAAAGATACAGTTTTGCCCCTTTGAAACATGGCTTTTTCCGCCAAAATAAAGGGAACCACCATTGACAAGGCAATGTTCAGGTGTATAACCCTGATAAAGGTTGTGGGACAATTTGAGGGAACCTGACTCGGTGTCAATAGGGGCAGGCCAACTCCTTTGTTGCAAAATGTTGAAACACTTGGATGGTTGCGAAATTCGCTCGCGCCACCGTTCAGAAACCATGGTTGAAACCAACATGTTTTGTTGGTGTTTGTGTGGGGGAATCGAATCGTTCCAGGGTTTCTGAACGGTGGTGCGAGCGCATTTCGTCCATCCACAGTATGTGTCCATTTGATCGGTTGATCGGTCAGTTTGGGTAGAAATAGATGGGTTCCGCTGGTTTAGCTCTTTTTCCATTTACCGGAGAATCCCAGGACCTTTGGCGGATTTCTGCACTTCCATGTGTGATTCCATTTTCCCTTTGTGGCCTTTGTGGGGGAGACCAGATACATGGACGTGGGGGAACTCCCATTATCCCTTGCCCGGGATACAGTGGCATTTGCAATGCAAAATGTGCTCAGAACAGTTCGGATTTGGTAGAGAACCGCCTCAGAGTGGTTGGACATGAATATCACCAGCTTTTTGTCAAAGGGTCCCAAATCAAAATGTGTGCCCAGGTCTGACCAAAAACGGGGGAATGCAACACGGGTGGTCTTTCTGGGCTGGGAACACTTTTCAGGACTCCGACCAGCACCACTCTGGAGGGAGCCGCTCGGATGCACGCGGTTTTCCTCGATTGTTTTGGGGCTCCGGGAGGGCGGGGGGGGGAGGTTGGGTTGGGTTTGGGGCTGGAGAGGCTGGGCAAGTACCAGCTCTGACCTTTTGGTTTACCTTTGGTCAGGGTAACTGGGCTGAGATGTTTGGTCCTTGAGACAAGTTCCTTGCTGGGGACCTGGACATGTGCTGGACCCAGCGGCTTTTTGTTTTTTTGTATTGATGATTGCGGAAAGCACTGGTTTATCCCGCAACCTCGTTTTTGCTGGGTCGTTGGGCGCATCGAATAGCCGGTAGATTCTTTCCTACTGGTTTCTATGAGGGTTCTTTTCCCAGATGGCTGAAAAAGCCCAGACCAAACCAGAGCCGTCTACACCACCCAGACCCAGACCCGTCCACACCACCCAGCCTTTCACAAGTTTCGTTCGGCTCGAGTCGTCCGGCATGGGTTTCGGGACAGAGTTGGTTGGGAGCACCCGTTGCGGTCCACAAAACAAACCGTGTGCCAGGATTGCAATCCCTTGGCGGTTTTAGCGTCTTAGTCTTTTTTGGTTGGTTTAGTGGTTGGGTTTCCATCTAAGCCCCACGACGAGCTAAACTTTCAGGGGATCTGAGTTCGGCCCAGGATTCTGGTTGCCTACTGCGGGGTCCCATGTGGGGAAGCCTCCTTGAAAGGAAGTCCTGCCCGAACACTCCACCGCTTCGGGCGAATTCTGAGTCGAGCTGCACGCCTCACTTCCTGGTTTTGGACTCATTGCTTGGACTCATTGCAAACATGAGAAGCAGAGGTGGAACTTTTTCCAGAGCCGGGATTTTTTTCAAAAGACCGACCTTTTTTGCAGAATCTGGACGGGAACGTTTTGGGAACGCGAGGCGGACCACAGCTTTGTGGGCCGCTACTACATGAAGAGCAGCTGCCGGGAGGTGGATGGCTTAGACAACCGCCCTATCGGGAGTTGGAGGGAAGCCCTATCGGGAGTTGGAGGGAAGATGTGGCTGTGGTTGTCAAAACCGTTTTGGGATCCCATTTTGGTTGGTAGGTGAATTCACCACCCATTTTAGAACCTATACTATTGGGGATTGGTGGATGTTTGCGGCGAAGTAGTTAAACGCAGCTGTTGAACCACACTTCAAGCTTCGAGCTTGCCAGATGGTACTTTCAGGTTTCTTCGCTTTTTCCCAATCTTCCAGGGCCCAAAGCGGTCTGTTTTGGTCCTGGCCGGTCAACCCTCTAAAAAAGGACTCCTGAAGTTGGAAAGGAAACTCGGGTCCCTCCTTGCTCTCAAAACAGGCCCACAAGGGACCCCGGTTAACTGAGAGCGGAACGTTGTGGGGACTGAGTTTTGAAAACAGTGACATCTGACCACCTGCGTTTCAAGCAGATTCCAGAGCTATTATAGAGTTGTTGGATGCTCTCTCAATCCAGAGCTGCAATAGACAAACCAATAGAAACCCAGGAAAATGCTATTGGATGTTGGTTTACAGGTTTTAGATTGGAACGCTTTGAGCTTAAATCAGATCTTAATTGGAGCTCAATTTAACACAACATTGTGAATTAGGCTAAATAGGTGTTCTTCCTTTCCAAGTAGGACTTTAGCTAGATTTTAAATGGGATTTGACCTGGAACCAGAAGCTTGTCGTGTTTTATTTTTTGCCAGCCCCTTGAAAGGAGTGTGTAGATTTTGAAGAATGCAATTCGTGTGGTATAGTAAGTATTAATTTGTACTTCCCTTCCAAATGAGATTTCCATAATATTTTGATTAGAAGTAGGCTGTGAAGCCGACGTGGCGACCTGTGAGGAGACCAGCTGGAAGCCCTCTGGCCTGTGCAGTCTTCGCTCCGTAGGTGATGAAGTAAGAGAGGCTACTCTCAATGGGCTGAGGTCCGTAATATAGGGGGCCATGCAATCATTTTTACACAGCTTTTGGTGGTTTTCAAAAACGCAGGCCCAGGACGTTCGCTACTAAATCGAATTCCCAGCCATTTTCTTTCTGGATTTCAGAGTGTGGTTCTTTTTGGTTACTAGGCAACTGGACATATTTTGACACATACCTCGATGAGCAATTGGCGAATTTGCCACAGGGTTCCAAGCGCCCAGTTTGGATATGGGGATCAACTAAGGGGGGACAACACACACTCCAATAGCCAGATCAACCATGTCCGCCCGATAGTAGAATTGTAAGCGCCGGCCTAAGCAATAGGAGCTTGACCCCCTCCCCAAACACGGATGAGGTGTTTTTTCTTGTTGGCTCCCAGCCATCCCCCTAGCCTTATAGCCTTTCAGTGCTTAGTGGTAGTTTCCATTTGACCCACTAAAAGTTGAACTTTTAGCGGGGGATCTGAGGGCAGCCCAGTTTTTGGGCTGGTGCCCAGTCAAAAAAGGGGGAAAAACAGCTTCGACGCCTCCATCGACCAGCTTTCTGCCAGGGCACCGGCAAGATCTTCATCCACGGCGACACGCTCATCTTCCAGACCCCCACCGGTGAGAAATCCGCCCGGGGGCCTTGCTTGGAGGGTTGCGGCTTGATCGGCGACGGAGCACGTCGGGTCTTTTTGCCCAGGGGGCACGGGTGACTTGATTCATTTGGGCCGGAGCTGATCAGGATCCAATGCCACAACGCCTTGTCTCATTCCCCGTGTTCACGGACTTCGGTTGCTTTTAGGTTTAAACAATTTTGGTGGTGCACAAACAGTTGCGAATGTTTTGGCCAATCCACTCGTTCGGAAGCGAGTTCGAAAGTGGCTGATGTTTAGATGTATCCCACTGGAACCCTGGTATCGCAAAACCAACTATTGATGCTCACCGAATTTGCAGCCACACGCAACTTGTTTTCGGCAGTTTGGCTGAAAAGCTGAAGTGGTTTGCTGCTACATTGGCTTCCATTTTTTCAGACGTGCTTCTGGTGTACCCACTTGTTTTCCACGGAGGTTGTGGGAAGATGAGTTGCGTGTGGAAGGTGAGTTGCCGACGATTCGGGTGTTTCTCACAATAGGGAACTTCCTGCACATGAGTCGTTTCCTCTTGGTTTCCCTTCAAATTACCTTGCGAGACCAACCCCCATGGCCGGGACCAAACCCCACGGCCCCCGGCCCTTTGCCCTGCAGGTGAGCCGTATCGGGGTTCCCTTGACAGGTCGGGGCCCCCAGGCTCGCTCCAGGCGCAGCTTTCTGTTGAGAACCCCGAGCTAAAACAACCAAGAGCAGGGTACCCTAAGAAGCCCTCTACCCTCTTTTTGGTTAAAAAGCATTGCAGAGATTCAGTGCTGCAAATCCTTTCTGTATTGGCTTGTTCTGGTTGGGGAAGCCCTCTTGAATACAAGGAGTACTTTTCTCCCACGTTGCCATGGCACCGGACAGGAGCCGGCTTTTAGAGGAGATTGATCTTTCAGACCCTCCCACAGGCGCATATTCTGCGCATGTTCTTAAGGAATAGGGTGCACTAAAGACGGACCATCAAACTTTCATTCCCCCAACAGCTGAAAGCTATGGATTTGGTCTCCGCCCAGCTGGGCTCGTTCGGGGTGGTGTGGGGGAGCTTTCAAGGAGGGTTGCAAGGGAGGGTTCCAGGAGGCTCCAATTTGTCAAAAGGTACTGTTCGAAGCCAGCAAAAAGGGACCTTTCTAGAGCGGGACGATACCTTTAGGCTGCAGGCTGTGCCGCGTGAGGTGCTGTTGTGTGGCTTGGGAGTGACTGTCCATCAGCGTGTCTTGCTGGTTCTCAGCAGGGAATGATAATTGGATTGACCACTAGAAGCAAATCCCAAACAATCCCTTATGGTTTCTTGTAAGGGAATTCGTATCATTCCCAAAACCCTGGGTCATTCCCTACTGCGCACCAGCAAGTTGTGGGGTTCAGACCCAAACCACCCAGAAGCGATATTTTCGAGTTTTAACGGGAAACATTGGGAAGGTCCTGCCTTGAGGGCTTGAGAGAAACTGGCCTGGCTGATTCTTTGTCACGGATCGCAGCTGAGCTAGGAATTCGGAATCTATTTTATCACACAACGAGCAATTGGATCGCAAGCGGGGTTCCCTCCACCCAGCGAAGTGTCTTCTGTCCAGGGTTGCCTAGCGCATCATGGTTCGGGTGGGTATCATTGGGGCGGCCCTAAAAAGGTACCTCGGAGTCCAAAGGCTTTGGGTGTTGGTTTTTCCCACTTTCTCAAAGAAGTAGCAGGGCCACTAGCTGCCAACATACCTGGGTGAGCATCCTCTGGGGTGGGGACCTGTCGTCAATCCCTATGGAGCCTAGCGGCTGCCTTTTCTAAAGATCCTTTCGGAGGGAGTTTTCTTTTTGGTTTCCCCTAAGGTGAGAAAGGGCACCTAGTAAGGGAACGAGGGACAATCACCCCTCTCAACAAGGTCCAGTCCCCGAGAGGTGTTTGGATCCCCGGAGATTCTTGAGGCTGCACGGCCACCACGGCGTCCTTCATGGTCTCTGCGGCTTGGCGCACTGGGGGAGGTGTCGTGGTTACACCACAGGTCTCAAGGGAAACCTGAAAACTGGGCGGGGCTTTCAATGGTTGTCTCTTTTTGTTGCAAGCCAACTGTACATTGAATGAAAAAAGGGTAGCCTCACAAAACAAGCTCACACACACACACACCAGTATCCCGTGATCCAATCCGAACAATCCGCTCGTTTGCCCGAGCTTGACATGTTGAATTCGCTTCCATCCGAACCAAGGAGCTAGAGACTTCAATACCATCCATTTTCAAGCACACATTTCTCTTCAGGGAGCCCACTTACATTTTCAGGAAGACCCACCTAACCAATGGTACCATTTTGGGGTAGGTGCACCGCCCATTCAACTCTATTTTAGTGGGGATTGGGATGTTCACTGGGGGTACGATTTGGCTTTTGACCCATGGCCAGAAACCAACAGCCGTTCCGTTCCGAGCTTCCGGCCTCAGCCCGAGGCGCGGGGTCCCGAGGGCCTGGCGTTGGTGCGGCTCTGGCTCAAGGACGCCGAGGAGGCGAGTCGAGTCGTCGAGTGAAATTCGACCGTCGAGTTGTCGAGCCTCGTCTAGAGGCTGTATATATGTTCCAGGACGTGGACCCACCCCCCCTCCCCCCCAACCCCGCCCCCACCACCCCCCCGCCCCCCGCACCCCCACAGGTGGCTTGGATTTGCTTAGAGTTGGTTTGGGGTGGGTATAGGGTTGGTTTAGGGTTGGCTTGGGGTTGGTTTCGGGTTGGTTTAGGATGGGTGTAGGGTGGGTTTAGGGTTGGCTTAGGGCTGATTTAGGTTTGGTTTAGGGTTGGTTTAGGGTGGGTGTAGGGTTAGCTCAGGGTTGGTTAAGGGTTGGATAAGGGTTGGTTAAGAGTTGGTTAAGAGTTTGGTTTACAGTGGGTTTTGGGTGGGTTTTGGGTTGGCTTAGGGTTGGTTTAAGGTTGATTTAGGGTTCGTTTAAAAGTTTACGGTTAGGGTTCAGGGCTGCCAGACTATCGGCTTCCCCTCGGACCTCAAGGGCGCCGATTTGGTGCCCTTTGAGGAGGTCTGCACCTCGCCGAACGTGATTGTAGTGGAGATGGTAGTCTTCTTGACTCTTGGTTGCCGGTCTCTTTTCCTGTAAATGTCCGACCAAAGTGTTGGCCCTGGCTCAAGCGGCTCGACAGCCGCCATTTCCGGAAAAACACGTTTTTGTTTGTTATTCCGTAAATTCTGTTTTGCATGAGTTGTGCGCGTGATTTTGCATGACATGTTGCCGGTGTTGCGTTTTTCTCGCGATTTTCACGTTGTCGGTCGTGTTTGGAAAGAGCTTCCCCAAGCACGTGAGCCTTGGAGAATTTTCTTCCAGCTTCGCTCCCTTCTGTGGGCGGTTCCCAGTGAGCGGTCCGGTTCCTTGGCATTTTTCGTTGTTTTTTGCGTTGGTTTAGCGGCTGGGTTTCATTTCACCCACTAGTTTTCTCAATCTTTTGCAGGGGATCAGGAAACGGACAGCCCAGGAGCCCGATTCCTTCTTCTATTGGGCCTTCCGATTTTGTGTCCCCCCTTTTCCACAAGGCTCTCTTGACATAGTTTTCCCAGGGCCCATGGGCAGGAATCAAACAATTCCGGGCCAATGTGGGAAACCATGGAGTTTACAGGGTCCCTTTAGCAGGTTCAATATGTTTTTTGGATGGGGGATGTCTTTTGGCAAAAGCTGAGGTAGACCATTTTCGTCTGTGTCACGCCCGCCAGTCGCCAACCCGCCGAGTGCAAGATTGGTGAATGGCTTCCTTGGGCTGCCCTGAACCAGGGGTGTCTCATTTGCGCACCCGTGGCGAATGAGAATCAACCTTGCGGCACAGGAAGACTTTTTAGGGTTGCTTGCTTAGAAACAGATGGCACTGGTGAAGATTGGTTTTATTCCATTTACCATGGTCATTTTTTTTCCAGAAGGTCACCCATGTTGCGATGGTCTCTCTTCCTTGTTCGGGGCAAGAGTTTAGGTAAGGGAAGATGGTCCTAGGTAATATTGGTTCACAAACGGGGGAAACGAACTACATATGTAACCTACAATGATTTTTTTCTCCCCAAAAGTCTCCACCTCCTCCTCCTCCTCCTCCTCCTCCTTCTCCTCCCCCTTGCAACATTGTGGCGGCCTGCTGCTGTGTTTGACCAAGCTTTCGTTGGTCTCGTCCTCAAGTGTTCTTGCGCATGCGGCTCCTGCTTTCAGCAAAAGCGGCGGGCCGATCTTTTCAACCCAAAATCGGGTTGATTCCTTGGTTTCAAAAGTCGGAGGCCAAAAGGAAAACCGGTTCCATGTTGGGCTCTCTGTGGATACGAACCCATCTTTCTAGGGGTGGATTCCTTGGTATTCTTCTCAGCCATGGTTCTTTTCAAAAGCCAGATCCATTTCCGAGGGATTTTTGGCTGGTTTTCCCGGAGTTCAGCTGCGCTCTGAAGAGCGACAGGCGGAGCAAATGGCAGCGGCGATCGGCACCACTGTAGGGGGCCTAGGGATGGAGCGCAAAGGCGTGGTGCCTTTCGGGTGTTGTGGTTGGAAGTAGGGGGTTCATTTGCTCCAAGATGTTCGGCGGCATCCGTGGCGGAGTTCCTTAAAACCACTACACCACCTGGGGGTTATGAGTCATAGCTGTCACCACATGGCCACTACTTGAATAGTGTTTCTTGCACGACAGAGCTCCTTAAATGATACAACTTTGCCATTCTAAACAGGAAGCCTTTTCCACCAAAGAGAGGGTACTGTTCAGGTGGATCGCATAAGAACCCCTTTAAGCCAACATGCGGGTTTATTTCTTTGTTCGGGCTGCGGCACCACCATAAACTCGGGTTGTTTTGGTTTGGGACGAGAAAAAAACAACGATTTGGAGCCTTAAGATTAGTTGCACAAGGTCGACCTTCTGAGCCAACTGCTTGTGTTGCCATGTGTCACAGTCCAATAAGGCCAACCTTCGATTTCCCTCCGGTCCAAACTGGTGGCAGGTGAGGGGTGCAACACGAGAGGGCCACATAATGTTATAACCCTAGACTGAACTATTACTAGAAAATGCATAAAAAGGAATGACACATCATATATATATATATACATACAAAACAATACCGATTTCATTTATAGAAATAATACTGGAATACTTTTAATATCCGTCGTACAAATATGCCTTGACCTCTATACATGTGACAAACAAAGCATAACAACAGCGATAATAGTAATAATATACTAGTAATTAGAAGAAACATAGTACTACTACTACTACTACTACTACTACTACTACTACTACTACTACTACTACTATTACTACTACTACTACTCCTCCTGCTGCTGCTGCTGCTGCTGCCGCCGCTGCTGCCGCTGCTGCTGCTGCTGCTGCTAGTGCTAGTGCTACTGCTACTGCGACTGCTACTGCTAGTGCTACTGCTGCTGCTGCTGCTGCTGCTGTCGCCGCTGCTGCCGCCGCCGCCGCTGCTGCTGCTGCTAGTGCTACTGCTACTGCGACTGCTACTGCTAGTGCTACTGCTGCTGCTGCTGCTGCTGCTGCTGCCGCTGCCCCTGCCGCTGCCGCTGCCGCTGCCGCTGCCGCTGCTACTGCTACTGCTACTGCTAGTGCTACTGCTACTCCTACTACTATAGTGGTAATGACAAGAAAAGCAAACAAGCAACCGACAAAAGCACATCTCAGCCGATGCTGAGGGCAAGGCCTCCTCGGACCTCATCCAGCGCAAGACCCTCTCCGGCGCCTCCACCATGAGGCTGACCGCGCGCATCTCGCGCGCGCGGCGGATCGGAGATGAGAGGGTCTGAATCTAAGGTCACAGGTCCTTACTCCCCATGGCCCCCCAACCCCCCCCCAAAAAAAACACAAACAAAAACACAACAAACACAACACACACACACACAAAGAAGAGGAAGAGGCAAAGAGAATGAGTTTCCTCGAGAAATGGATCGTTTTTGTCCGGGTTGCATGTCAATATTCAGGGGAGCCTTGTCTGGGGGGTGTTTTAGAATAAGCGATTCCCTGTCCCCAAAACACCCCGGCACTAGTTACAGCACGAGGTCCCGTCGGCGCAGCATGTTTTCAACGGGCGGTTTGGTTTGCTGAGGAGGTAGGGGCAGGGTAGGGGCAGCGTAGGGGCAGGGTAGGGGCAGGGTAGGTAAGGGCAGGGTAGGGGCAGGGTAGGGGCAGGGTAGGGGCAGGGTAGGGGCAGGGTAGGGGCAGGGTAGGGGCAGGGTAGGGGCAGGGTAGGGGGGGGCAGGGTAGGGGTAGGGTAGGGGTAGGGTAGGGGTAGGGTAGGGGTAGGGTAGGGGTAGGGTAGGGGTAGGGCAGGGGCAGGGTAGGGATCTAGGATGGTGGAAACCAAAGCGAAACCACTCGCTTTCAGGGATCGCTTTTAGGGATCTATCTTGATGTCCTGCATCCAGACATGCAATCCCTGAAGTATTGGTGTCTTTTCGTAAGAAAGGCCAGAGAAAGATGGGAGCCAAGTGGATTCCTTGCTGCCAACGCATTTCCCTTGGCACCTATGTTGAGAAGGGCGATTGCTCCTTCCGTTTTCGGAGCCCCGCACGGGTCACGAGCGTCCTGCCCCTACCCTGCCGCTGCCCTACCCCTACCCCTACCCAGCGACTAGTCTGCCCCTACCCTACGCCCTCTACCTGTTGTTGGGGAAACCAACTCCCGTCTGCCCAAGACCAGCAGGCGGCAGATGGGGAGGGCTGCCTATGGCCTCTGCGCGGCGGTGGCTCAGGCAATCGACAGAGAGCACATGGGCCGATGGGTTGGAGACCTCCAAAAAAACCATGGGGTGTTCTTCTGGCCTCAGGGTTGTGGGATCACAAGGGATAAACTGATAAACTCCCCTCTTCTGTGATACAAGGGTCTCCCCTGTTTAAATGGGGGTAGTCTTTGGGAGACCCTTTTTGTTGTATCGCAGAAGTGGTCATTTCCCACAGCCCTGGGCCTCATTATTGTACCATGGCTCTAAAGTCACCTTCTTTGAGGGCGGTTCCCAGCAGTTCCCAGCTGTCCGGTTCCTTAGGTTTTTAGTTGGGTTTTAGTTGGTTTAGTGCTTGGGCCCACTGAAAGCTAAACCTTCAGGGGATCTGAGGACAGCCCAGGTACTTGTGAGATTGGGGTAAAAGAAACAAAGAGCGACACCAGCACATGGCGGTTGATGAGCCCAGAAAGAGGCACTTTCTGCAAGAATCTTCTTTTGGGAATATGAGTGTATTAAACCATGTTTCAACAAAGGCTTGGCCTAGCCCGGTTGATTTTAGCCAGTTGTGAAAGCGCACGGGGTATATTTTCCAGATCCTTTCGTCAAGTCGGTTATAGGCGCCGACTCACGCCTCTCAGGGTTTGCGCTAAAGTGATCGAATGAGAACTCACAACGAGCATGTGTCCAAAATAGAGGACCCCTTGAACATTAAAATGGGTGGTTTTCCTTTTTGGGTTCCCGTCCCTCTACTCCAAGAACCTGTAAGAATAAAGGGTGCAGACGTCAAACCTGGCTTTGAACCTGTTGCTTTCCAAAAACACAGCTTTCCAACAACAAATATGGCCTTACTTTTGAACCCCCTACAAAAACCAAAGCCCGTACGTTCGAACTTTGCAAGAAGCCGGCGCTTCCCGCAAAGAACCTGGTTCGGGTTGAGAGCCTTAAACATAAGCTGGGTTCTTGGAGAGGGTTTGGCCCAACCTGAAATTTGGCGCCTTGGCGCCCAACAAAAGCGTCCCAAAGGCAGCGCCGGACCAGCCAGGTTCCTCAGTCCCTGCGGAGGAAGCTGGTGCCCGAGTGCAACTGCTTTGCACGGAAGAAGAAGACCAGGACGCGCAGCCGGGTCTCAGGGAAGCTCAAAAAGTCCCGTGAAATGCGCCGCATCTTTTTTTCTTCGAGAAGCATGGTCTGACAAAAAGCATGGTTCTGGACATGCTTTTTTTGTTTGTCCCACAGTGGCCATGGGTTAATGTGTGCCACGGTCAATATTTATGTCTGTAAATGTCATTGGGCTTTGATGAGCAACCTTGCTTTCCTAGTTGCCATTTGGTGAGTGTACCATTCTCTTGACTACAGCAGATGCTGTTGTAGATTGACTCTTTGCCCACAACATGGGAGCTTCTCTAAATGGTGGACCCCCTTTTGGTTGGTACTTCACGGGAAACCAAGAGCAGCCCCTTGCCATGTTGGGAGACCGATTTCTCTTTGAGAAACATTCAGTGACACACCTTTGGCCTTGGTTTGACCCAGAAGCGTAGAACTCAGTTCAAGCAACCCGCACGGCATAGCTTGTGCAAGAACCAGATCCATAGCAAGGGGAGCGGGAGCCATTGTATTGTCTCTTAAAAACCAACTAAAACAATAAAGCATACACATGCGGATTTTATAAACCCAAAACCCAATGTGTGTTTGTTTTGTCGTGCTTTTATTTTTATATTTAAAGAAGCAAAAACGATTACAGACTGGCAACCATTGGTGACAAAAAGGTGCCACCAAGGGCCATTCAGGACAACAAACTTCCCATCCTTCCCGTACTATAGCTCTGAATCCATCCAGATCTGTCATGGGGTTTCCCTTCTTTCCTGTTTCCCAGACCACTGGATGTTCAGGTTTTTGCTTTCTTCAGAATAGTGATGTCCGTTTTGAAGCAAGAGAAGGTGACATTGGGAAGTTCTGAGCTCATGCGAAGGAGCGTTGCCACCAGCAACAACTTCCGGCTGGACGGGCGGTGCTGCATTCTACCGGCGAAGACCACGGTGGGGGGCCCCAGGAGACATCACTCGCAAAGAAGACTTCCACACTCTGCCTGGTCGTGGGAAGGGCTGCGAGGCGGTTGACCAGCGTCAGGACAGCAAGGCGGTCATTCTCCACCCGGTTCCGTCGGCTTACGGCCCCGCGTGCGTCCACCGCTACCGACTTCAAGCTCGTCTTCGTGAGCTTCCACCTTGCCCACCCGGCGCGGTTGATTTTCGACCGGGCTGGCGGCTGGCATCTTAACGTTGCGCCTGCTGCGTCGCAGTGCGAGAACGGCTTGTTTAGAAGGGCAAGGGTTCTCCATATGGTCCGGATGCATTGGAGGGGTCTTTACATCCCCAGTTGGTTGTCAAACATTTATCGTGGTTTTCCGTTTGGTTTCCGTTTAACCCAAGGTCAGGAATTCAGGAAGTGTATCTCTAAACGATCTACGTCTATGCTCGAAGCGAAATTCAACATGAAAGCCCATAGGCTGATGTTTGTGTTGTAGGGTCCTTGTGCAATTGTCCGGCATGGATTCGACAATCAGTTTTAGGGTTCCTTCATTCTGCCCTTCAAACACCCACCACAACATGGACACTCATTGAGTTGAACCTTACTCAATGGCTCAACGGCAATGTGTAAGTACCAGCGGCGACAAGCCACTTCGTCCATTCAAAATGGATGGTTTTCCCCAGGGGGAGTTCGCAACCGCTTGAAAGAGAAGCGACTGAGGATGCACTGGGTTCGTCACTGATCCAGTGAAAGGTGCTAAGAACTCAAGGGGCACGCACCCCGGAAGAAGTATACGAGTGATGCAGGCAAGACGTGCTGGATTGACATAGTGGCGGCCCTTTTGGGGGTTTTCGTGAAACGATGGCACGCTTTTTCTGAGGGCCCAAACACGGGTCCATTGCCTTTGGTAACGTCCCATGTTTTTGCACACTAAATTGAGGATTCCTTATTTCCGCTTAGCAGAACCCTGTAAAGAGTAAAGACTAGGAATCGGTCCTCTAAAAGTGGCAAGGGTTCCCTTTCGGGCTCCTTTCAAAAAGCAGCCAAAGGGGGCCAACATTTTTGATATGAGGGGCCAAAAAGCCCAGTATGAACAAACACTCACTCGATTTCATGGATTTGAGTCACTTTTTGGGTTTGGACCATTTTAGTGGCAAACAACAGTTTGAGGGCTTTTTTCTTGCCAGGTGGTTTTCCCTGTTTTGTGTCTGGAGGCTGCAGATTTTGCACCCAAAGTCTTTCCACCCCAAATCAACCCAGGAACACACCAAACATACCTGGCGACCCCCGTTTTGCCCACCCCTGTTTGACCCAGCATAGGGTTTGTCTTCTTAGGCGGCCCACCAACATGGGTTTCGGTTTTCCTATTGGTTCCCTCTAAAATGAGCCCCAAACTTCGCAGAGACGCATTGCTTGCTGGTGCTCAGCAGGGGATGAGGAACCGACCCTATTACATTTTTTTTGGTTGTTTCCTCCAAGACCCCCAGGTTCTTTCCCTCCTTCCCTACTGAACACCAGGGGCCTTCCCATTGCCTTGGCGCTCGCTCCAGGAGGTCCGGGCCTGCCACGCCACCCTGCGGGGCGACGCCTTGTGGACGGGGCAGAAGGCCGGAGCCAGCGACCAGGCGCGGGCCACCCGCGACGGGGTGGGTTTCAAGGGCAGTCACAAAGGGCGAGCCTTTTTTTGGAGCTCTGGATGTCACATTTCTGGCGGTGAGCCAGTGCATCGTCCCCTTCAACTTAGGCTTGTAGCTTTTTAGTTGGTTGCAGTGGTTGGGTTTTCGTGTGACCCACGAGTCAAACTTTTCGCCGATCTGAAAACGGACAGCCCGGAGAAGTACCACTGAAAGGGGTATAGACCCTACCAGCTATTGGTGAGATGAAAGCTGCTTCCAAGCCGATGGACTTGCTCTTGATCTCTGGGATGGGTCGAATGAGTACGGATTCGAAGTGTGAAACATGGAGATGTGCTTTGGGTGATATGAATTCGCTTTCTTGAAGCTCTTTTGGGGGTAGCAACCTTGCCTGCAAACGGTTGGCCTGTTTCACACCCACCTCTTTGCGGGGTTGTAGGAGAAACAAGGGACCTGCGCCACCAGAGACTTCAAATCTAAACAACCACACCCCAAAAAGGGTACCGAGCCCTCAGGTGGTATCCCCAACAGCCCCGGAAATTTCTGGAACCCTCCTTTTGAACCCTCCCTGGAAGCTGACTTTCAGCGGTTAAAGAAAAAGCCCTTCCAAACCACACGCCCCCAACGAACGAAACCCAAAACCACAGGCCCCACAGCCCCCCCCCAAAAAAAAGCAACAACCACACCACACGTGCTCAGCGCCCCCCACCCCGGGCGAGGGAAACCAGGGCGACCAATGCCAAGCTGGAAACCAACTTTGGACAGAAAATCCACTTCTTTCAGCTGTTGGGAAAAACACACACCCCACACGCCCCAACGAAACCAAAAGCCACACGTCCCCAAAACCCACAGGTGCTCAGCGTGATCAACGCCTCCGCGGTGGCGACGGCCGACATGGTGGCCATCCGCACCCGGAACGGAGACCTGCACAGGCGCCGGCCCCAAGCGTGCGGGGGAGGTGGATGTGGGTGTGGCGGGGGCGAACTCCGGAGGATTTTTTTGAGTGGGTTTGGCTCCTGAAAAATAACCCAGGGTTCCATTTTTTGGGTACCATCTTTTGAGCCATGGCCATGTGTACAGCGAATAAACATGCAAAAGCACGGAGACTGGCGAGTCTGCCACAAAGAAATGGTCCCCAAGAATCGCTCCAGTTTTGGAGCGATTCTTGTATTTACATGTATTTTTTTCTTTTGGGAGTGAGCCTTTAGATGTCATTCAAAGGGTTTTGCCTCCTTTGGGCACCGAGCGGGTACGTGCCAGACTCGGGATTTGGACACGCTTCCCAGTGGGTTTTGCTTCCTTTAAGCTTTTCGTGGGCACGACCGGGCAGCCAAAAAGGTGCTCGTAAGCCTTTTGGGTGTTCCCCTCAAGGAACCGTAACGACTCTCAGAAGTCTGACTTCAGATGTTGGAATGCCCAAAAAATAAGATTCTTTGTCCGGAGGACAGGATTTCCGGCACCATTTCCACGTGGCAAGCCTCTCGGCGCACTTCCATCTTCAACATACCCCCTCCTCCCGTTCTGAAACCTGACCTCTTCACCCTGGTTGAGCCTTTGGGGGTTCTCAAGATTGGTCCGCTGGTTCCTCTTGGTTTCCTGTTGGTGTCCCTTCAAGTACCAACCAAAAGGGGCCACGATTTGGAGAAACTCGCCTCTTTTTTAATACGTTGCAGCTGATTCTTGCGGCAACACGTCGGAGCCCAAACCGGCCTCCCCAACCTCTTCAACACCCCCCCCCGGCCTTCAACCCCTGTATTACCCTATGTTACTCTTCTCTCGCCATTTGAACCATGGCCATGTTTGGCCAAACTTTAATGTGAGTCTCCTTGGGTGATATTGAAATATAATACCATGATAGGAGCCACCTAAGAGTGGTTGCACATGAATCCCCACCAAAGGGTACGGGATACACAGATGCCAGATGAGCCACAATCAAAACCGATTTGGGCAAGTGAAGCTTAGCAAGGGACAATCCCCTTGCCATAAATTGCGGATCTCCGCCTTCTGAAAAGCATGGTTCTGGGTCGACCATTTAAATACCGGGTTTTGATTGTGACTCAGGGGTTTCGATATAGTTCCCTTTTCGGTGGGGTTACACATTCACCTTTTCGCCCATGAAAGGTGAGTGTGTATTGGTTTGGGGTGATGTTTTAACACCGGGTTTTGATTAGGAGTCACATAGGAGGTTTGAGGGTACCAAAAGAGCGGCTCTGCGTTGTTTGGAGGGTGCTCTTTTGTCACCTTGGCGTTCTTTCCCGGTTTTGATTGGGAGTCAGATTTCCCAGGCCAGGATGAAATTCGACCAGTTTTGCATGGGATGACTCAGATGAGCCACAATCAAAACCTTCGTAGCCATTTTGGCTCAAGAGATGTCCTCATCGCAGGACGAGATTCTGACGGAGTTACAGCTGGAGCAAGCCTTCGACACGCGGGAAGTTGTGATGGAGGCCTTCAATGATTTGAAGATGGGCAGCACGGTGAAGGGGACAGGGCCACACTACCCTGAAGTCACACCTGGCTTCATCTTCCCCCGGACTTTTTTGAGGATTGAGACCCTTTCAGAGCTCTTGCGCTGTCTTGAGGGTCCGAGCCTGGTTCTCAGCCACCTGGCGAAACACTACAATCATCACCAGTTCAACGAGAGTGTTTACCCTCTCCATGCGCCGGACAATACTGGGCGACTTTGCTTTTGCCTCAGCTGACATAGAACGACGCCTGATCTTGAACAAAAGCAGATTGACCACTTATCAAGAGATGAGGCAAGAAATAGAGGTGCTCATCGAGACGGTTGTTGGAGCCAAGGGCGAAATCCACAGACCCAGATCCAGCTCGGCATCGGGTAAGGCCCTTCCCAGGCCTGCTCTATGTGCAGAACCCTTTGCTGCAGTTGCATCTGATTGGATCAGCACCTTTGTCTCCACCGCAAAGTCCTCCAGGAGCGACTGGAGGCCAAGACCCAATAGTTGACTGAACATTGCTGCTGTGCGTCCAACCTGTCCTGAGACAAGTATGCGACCCTCATCACGCAAGATCGACACAGCGAAGCCTGGTCTTTTGGTAAAGCTGGGCTTCTGGCTTCCTGCATCTGCAACTCCACGGACTTCTTCACGTCCGGTGTCTCTGCTCCCTTGGCGTTCTGCATGCCAACAAGCAAATCAACATGTCGTCGATCTGGCTCGATCAGGATCGCGCTTGTACCTTGATGTTGCTCACAACGAATGAGTCTGTTGAGAAAGTGAACCTCCTTGCTATCTCCTTCCTCATCTCCAATCGTTCCGAGGCACCGTTCACGGCGTCCTCCGGCGTCACAAAGCATTCCTCAGGAACTGGACCTGCAACAGCTGCGTCCAGCGCACTCCGCTCTCCACCAGGTAGTCCCTCAAGGCTCCCAGCGCCACCCGCACTAGCGCTGGCGGGTATCTGGCTGCCGGCCTTGCGAGTCTGATCAGGTGGACGTGCCTATGCCAGGGCTTCCCCGCTACCATGTTGGTGCATTCTCCTTGCAACAGTTGTGCTAGTCCTAGATGATTGGTCATCCAGCCTCTGTGTTTGTTGATGTTCTGTAGTTGTGAAAACTGATCACAAGGTGGGCTCCCTGTGAGCAGTGTTGGCTCGACCTCGTCCACGTACTTCGAGCTCTCGGACGTCCTCTTCCCTACTGGCATCCCAGTACATTCCGTCCGGTTTCTGTTCCTCCAGGTCCACCGCAAAATTTGGCCTCAATCGACTTGGGCCGTGAAACTCTTTGGGCTGTAGATCTCTATGATGTCCACGGCTCCCATCTCCACGCAAAGCTTGGTGATCTGCTCCAAGTCCACTGCATTGATCTCCATCTACTGGGCTGCGAAAGCTCTCTCAATCTTTCTTCCAACCAATGTGCAGCGCTGGCCTCTTGATCTGTGTAGTCGGCTTAGCCAGCTCTCTTTATTTTACTGGGTCTTCTTCATACTCCATCACCTGTCCAGAAACATGGCCTGCTCCTGCCCCGCCCTCAGGCCAACTCTCCCACAGCCTCTGGGCTGGGAGATCTCTCGCCACTGCCGTCTCCTTTTGTGGATTCCTCGCTTCCTCTTGTGTTCTTCTACCCGACGTCGTCCTTGCTCATCATCCATCATGAGCCCAACAATTCGGGCTCTGCATGCCTCCGTGCACGGAAGCTGTGTGGATTCTCCCAGCAACACACACGTACAGCCTGGGCATCCGTCTGTAGGTTTGTACTTATCCACGTCGACCTGCCGGATGCTGTGGTGGTGCCATGACTGGCACGATCTGAGGTGGTACCTCAACCCGGCCCTCGCTGACCTCTTTCTAATGTCACAACCAGCAGGGCGCCAGTTCTCCCATGGTGACCTATATACCTGCCTTCCTTCAACGGCCTAGCCCTCACCTACCTCACGATAGTGAAGGCGCTCTCCGATGGCAATAGCTGGCTTTCTCCATGCTGCTACGCCTCTGCTCTGGTATCTTCCCATCGACACCTCTCTTGCACCTGCAAATCAGGTCTGCTGAGTGTCTTGGAAATTGGAAACCAAGACAGCACTGGGTCGAGAATTCGGCCCAACTTCTGCTCAAGTTAGGATCGCAGGACTCGTACCTGCCTCTTGATTTCTTGGCACAAATTCTCGATTGCGCCATTCGCCCGGCGGTCAGCCACCGGCGACTCTTGTGGAACATTCTCCACACCTGCGTCCTTGGCCGCCTGCTCCTTCAGGGCAACGATCGAATGCTCGCCATCACTCTTGAAGACTGCACGACGGTAACCAAGATGCTTACAAAGTTCGCCATGAAATTGACCGCATATGGCGTCGGTCCTTTTGCGTCCACGAAGGTGGCCGCAACGGCCAGTGTCCGACTGTTTCGGATCACCAGGATAGGCTTAGTCTTCCCATCCTCTTTTTCCATCTCGCGTCATCCGGAACAAGCAACTCCAAGGAAGTGCATTTGATGTCTTCTGATAGGGTTTCTCTGTTCCCTTGTTCATTTCTTCAGGCTTCATATCTGCGCATGAGGTCGTCCAACTGCTCTGCGCATGAGGTCGTCCAGCTGCTCTAGGGCTGGTCTCACTGAATCCCAAGTTTTGAATTGACGAAAACAGCATGTTCTCACGGATCTCTCCTCAGGGCTCTTCCGGGCCTTGATTTCCTGGACCACCAATCTTGACCGAAAGTTCGGATTGGTGGGGTCTCCCTTGTCGGTGTCTATCCAACGGTGGATATTGGGCCTCTTCCGTTGGTATCTTGAAGACACTCCTCGAGTGGCACCTTCTGGAGGAAAAGAGTAGTCGTCAGCGCAAATCTAGGTGGGATCCGGAAGAGCCCTCGTTAGAGGCGGCTGGGAAGCGTGGCGCATCCAGGCAGTTGGACGAGGTCACTGGCAGGCCAGGAGCGGTGGAGGATCTTCACGCTGCGCTGAGTAGGTCATCGAGGGAGACCGCTGCGCCGGCCACTGCATCAAAGGCGAAGCCCAAGAAGCCGGAGGAAGGTGAGGTGCGGCTGAGATCTGCAGATCGCGTGGCATCTGAACCAGTGGTCGAGCGCTTCAGTGTGGTTCCTGAGGCGCGCAGCACTTAGACGGCCAGGGACGCCAGCCCAACCCAGCCGAGGCCAGAAGAGTTGACAGAGACTGCCAACAAGGCAAGCTTGTGAATTGGGTCCCGCTCGAACCCAGGCCTTATGCCATAGGGGAGGTCACCCAAACAGTAGCCGACGCCTTTCTTTATGGTAGTGGATTTGCATTCTGCCTTCGTGACTGGCTTTCTTCACTGCAGTGGGACACAGCTTCCCCTGCTGCTGATAACCGGGCATAACTTGGCTAGAGCTTTATGTGAACTTTAGGTACTTGACACAGAGCCACGTGCCTTTCAACATCGGACAGAGGGGGGCAGATACCCATTTCGCCAACCCCTTCATTCATGAAGCGCTGCTTTCTTGCCTGCCCACAGCACAAGCTATCCTCACAGGCTTTGTTTGTGCCATCCGGCAGCTTGGGCAGCTCCGCTCCTCCCCGCAGAGAGCCCTACCAAAGTCAGGACACTCAATGTGTTTGGTAGCCAGGCACGCCCAGGCTTCTTGACACGTCCGGGCATTCTTGAGCCTGTCATCACACTCGAAATTGTCCGTGCCTTTCTTCAGGGGCATTCCCCGCTTCCGGCCATTCCGCAGGCCACAGCGCGTTTTCCCTTAGTGCTCCGCAGCACAGATGAATTCGATGTGATGCACGGCCATGCCGAACGGTATAGGCGTTATCGTGCACTCTTGCACCGCACTCGGAGCCGGCGTCTCGCCACCTAATTCGCACGTAGATAGGTCCGTTCTGATTCGTCATGTCTGTTCGTGTCACGCATATGCAGGGCACGTTGCAGAGACCCAAGAGAGCCAGCCACAATCAAACCCGGGTAGATGAAGGTTAGTCAGGGACAATCCCAACCATAAATAGCTGCGGCCGCCTTCTTAAATTCTTTACATGGTTCTGGGTAGACCATTTTGATGCCGGGTTTTGATTGTGACTCAGATGTTCTTTTCAATCTTTGGAAGCGTCTCCTTCCAGCTCTAGGCTCTTCCCGGACGACCATGCGGGCTCGGCCAGCCAGTGGTGCCAAGCTATCCAGGCGACGGCCGTGGATAGGTCTCCTTTGCTTCTCAGGTTTCTGACATTTGCGTTTCATAATTTTCGTTTTTTACATTATCCCACCGCTGGAAACGCAAATAAACTGGTCCAAAAGGAGTCTATCCCACTGGACATATTTCCCAGGGGGCTTAAGCAAAATGGAGGGTCATTTGGTGGAACACACACGGGTCCTCTTTCAGTTTGGTTCCCCTCGTTATTTTCCAGCGCTGTCTATTTTTTGTATCCAAAGGATACTAGTTGGTGAGGGCCTTAAAGTTGGTTTCACCTAGCCAGTGCTTGGAGAGCAGATCTTGGCGGTTCCGGGCCAACCATCCGGTTCCTTAGCTTTTTAGTTGCTTGGCCGGTTTGGTTGGATTTCCATGAGCCACAAGGCAAAAAGCTTTGAGCGGATCTGACAAAGGAACGCCCGGTTTTTTCTCGTTTTTTCTCTTGGAGCGTTGGGAGCTACGGATCGGAGTTCAGTAAGGACATGGCAGCCAAGGGTAGCCAAGGCGTCCCGAAAGGGGCGTAGGGGAAGGGCTTGTCTCTGGTGGTGGTGAACATGTTGAATGTCACTCCCAAAGTAGTGGCAAACAAAAGTTTGGGACCTTATTTCGGCGGTTGGCCTGCTCAGGAAGCGAGCAATTCTCCTTTTTCGGGTTTTCAATCGCAATTCTGGGTTAGCCCGACAGAATCATTGACATACCCCATGCAAGTGCCGGGTTTTTCTCGCCTCCTGGGTCCTTGAAGTTTTAGCTTTTCTTCGGGCCCCCAAACCTGATCGGTTTCTTGTTTGCCGAAAGCCCTTCAAACACCATCCCAACGCACTTCCCTTTTTTGGGACACCCGCTGGAGCCATGGTGTCCGGATGGCCCACCAGAGCCAGAGAAGTGAAGAGTCCCAACATGTCCCAACCGTAGGTACCGATCTCCGCCAGGTAGGTTTTTCACATGGCCTCCATTTGCTGAAAGGAAGATTTCTTTCTTTTCCCGTGTTGGTTTCAAAAGGAAATTATCACCACTGGACATATTTTTCCATTTTTTTCCATTTGGCCTTGCCCAAATGGAAGATTGGTTTGGGTCCATTTCAATTATTCTTGACTCAAGGGAGCCGATCCGACGAACACGAGGCGGCCGGCAAGATGTCCAAGGACCTCGGGAAGTGGGAGGCGCGGCCGTGGGTGTCGGCCGATGGGTGCGGAAGGCAGCGCTTGTTTTTGCTTTTTTTTTTTTTGTCTTTGCGGTTCATTGCACGGGTGGTTGTTATGGAAGTGGTCTCTTTTTGGTTTTGGTCTCTTTTTGGTGGGTCTCTGTGGTCGGAATGGGTGTTTTTTTTGGGCGTAGCCCTATCGCTACAGCAGTGTCTAGGCACGAGGCTGCAGCCAGTACCAGCGGGTGCACATGGAAACTCAATACTGGACGCCCTTGGCTGTCGCGTTGTACGATTGCTGTAGCGGAGCAGTGTCTAGGCACCAGGCTTCAGCGAGTACCAGCGGGAGTGCATGGCTAAGAGTGGACTTGTGAATGCCAAACATACAGCAAAAGAGAGACACCCCGCGCGCGAACTGGCGGCCCAGCATGTCAAATGATGATAATTTTGGTGGCTTTGATTTCTCGTGCCTTTTATTCTCCAGAAGTCGGTCCCGAAGTCCAAAACAGAGTGGGCTTTGTGTTCTGGTCTTTCGGGGGGCCAGGCAATGGAGTGACTAATGCCCCATCCGGAAATCGGTTCCGAAGGCCGAAATGCCGAGAACTGTTGCACTCTTACTGTCCAGAGCGTGTCCCAACCAAGTAGCTCCGGGTAATGAAACTGAGCCCCAGAACGGGACAGGGTTAAGCAAAAGACAGGGTTAAGCAAAAAAACACCGTACCCTCTGTGGTCGCAAGGGGGGGAGATATGGATGTGCCCACTTTTTAGTGGACCCCCTTCCTTTTGATGTATTCAAATCGAGGGTACCAACTCCAAGAAAGACTCCGAAAAAAGGGAACTCTGCAAGTAAGTTTCCTGCTTTTGGATTGGTTCGATCTCTTTTCTCCTGTCGTGTTGTTTGGCGGCTCTTCGGGAACCGCTGGCGTTTTTCTCGCCGTGACTCTGTTTTGAGGGGAGGCGGCTGGCCGGGTTTGACCTGGTCAGTATGCCGACTAGAAATAAGATGCCCTCGGCCAGTAGTTTCTATTCAACCGGATCTCACAATGATCATGTAGGCCATGGTTAAACTCCCTCCAGTGTGTCAGTCATGGTCATGGTTCCATCAGTAGGAGCCTTCATAATTGTTGCGGACAGTGGTTGAAAAGGATTCATGACCATACCACCTAGTGAAAGTGTGTGATCACAAAAGGGCACTCTTGACAATGGCACACTTGTCACTAAATACCAATTTTTGGGTTCTAGTATTTGATATTGATGATGCAGTTGGATGGATGAGTGTAGTGCTTCGGTTCCACCTGAGGAACCGGCTCCACGAATTCCACAGGAAGCTATACCCACCAAACATCAGGGTTTTCACTCAGCTCCCGAAGATTATGTAAGGGCTGCCTTCTTCGAGTGATGAGCAAACTCACTGTGAATCCTTAAATTTTGGAAGTCAACCACATCCAACTGACAACTTGCCAGTGGTCTCCACATATTCTCCCGTTTGGTTGGTTTTAAAGGGAAACCAAAAGGAAAGCCGAGCCCGCAAATGGAACGCACCCAAGGTTTTCCAAATTTGGGCTTCCCTTCCAACCAAACTCCAACATGGGGGGTACCCTCCAAACAAATCTTCCCAACTTGGGTGCTTTGAATTTGGTTTTCCCTTTAAGCAAAAGAGCCTTAGTTGCACAACGCCCTGCAGCGAGGTTTCCCAAAATCCCTGTTTGGGTGGTTCAAAGGGAAACCAAAGGCAACCAACCCAACCATTTGGGCGTGTCTTGTTTCGGAACCCCCCAACATGGGAAAATCCGTTTTCCTTTGGCTTTTCCCCTTTAAAGCCACCCAAAAAAAGGAAATAGGGTACGCACCCCCAGCAAAAGGGAGCGAGAGCCTCCCATTTCAGGGCACCGATTCCTATAAGAATGTGATGGCAATCTTGAGAATCATCAAGTCATATTTCAAACGGACATATGTGGACTGTGAAAAGAGGGCGCCTAGCGTTCGTAGCGCCCGGAAGGCCAACCTGCGTTCGGCCTTCTACAAGGACACCGCCAAGGAGAAGGCGGGGGACGGCGGTTCCGAGGCCCCTGAGGCTGCTGCAACGTGCCCCTGGTTCCGTGGCCGGCGTCGCTGGGCCGGGTTTGGGGGACGGATCGCGCGATCAGGCGCGCAGGAGTTGCTTGCTTCTTTTTTGCCGCAAAACAAGCGGAAAAAAGCGGGAGAAAAAAGGGATGCGGGATTTTTTGAGGCTCGGCACCCTTGCTTGGACCCGTGATCTTAAAGGGAAACCAAAGGGAGAATCATTTTCTTCTTTTGTTGCGGAGCGGAGGCCCCTATTTTGAGACACCCAAACATTAGCTTGTGTGAGCTTCCCCCTGATTGGTGGTTTGGAATTGATGGCCTGGGATTTGAACCCCCCCCACTTCTTCTTGAAGCCAAATGGGAAGATACCCCAAACCTCCAAACTACCAATCCAAAACGGCGAGTTTGTGTTTCAAATATCAAGCCCAAAAGACCGCCCTGGTGGCTCGCTTCATCGGAGACTGGGGAGACCCTCTCAAGCCAACCACCCCAAAACCCGGTGGAATTTTCTGGATGTCCCATGGAACTTCGCGAGCGCCGTTTCCTCTCGGCTGATCCAGCTTCTCACCCCACCCACTTGACCCCCGGCAACCCAAGAAAAAAGTTCGAAGAACGACCTGAGAAGTGCGGTCCAGCAATTTCCGGCCATCAACCCTTTTTCCGGGGGGTGTTTTTTTTAATTGACTGCCCAGTTCGCTTCCAATTCGCTCCTATCGAGCTCCTGGCGAGCGAAAATGTGGTTTTCAGGTTCAGAAGCTGGCGCGATGGAGGAGATTCAGGCGCGGTCAAGTCAGACATGGCCACCGACACAGACCGCCAGAAACAAAAAAGTCGTCCAGGCCTCCAGATGCCATGTGAGGGAGGGTATGTCCGTTTTGGAGCGCTTCAAAAGAAAATCCTAAACGAGACCAAAACTCACGTAAGCACATCCCAAAAGTCTTCCAAGTAGCAGATCCGCAATTCTGATGTGGGTTTTTGGCTCGCTTTTCGAGGCGAACAGTACCCTTTACAGAGGTCAGTTAGGAAAGCTAAAAGGAAGACCGCAATGGCCCAAATGTGGGGGCGCTCCTCAAAATCGAATCGATACCCTAAAACCAAACATAGCAACAGGTTCCTTTTGGTTTGAAGTGCCAACCCAAAGAGGGCTCTTCCACCATTCTGCGAGCACTCAAAATGGCGATGAGTTTTCAGTGGACATACGTCCCCACAGAAGTTTGAAGTCCCCCAAAGAGTTCCCCAGTAACTTGAGGGAACCCTGTTTGGGGTCAAAGGGAGACCAAAACGAAACCAAAACGCATCATTTCTTGGTCCCCGGTTTCAAGTGAATGTCCTTGAGGGGCAATGTGGTGGGGCGCGGCCAAGGTGGGCCGTTGACGTATCCGAATCGTTGGGCTGTGTGCCTGGGTTTTGGTTCATATACCCCGAGGATAGCCTATCTAAGAATCCCCACGGATCTTGGTTGGCATTTTCCATTTTGGTGCAGGACCCCTTGGTTTGTTTGGATTTTGTTTTGGCATGCACCCCCTGAGATTAAGATGAGCGAAGCCTGTATCAAAAGAGATCGAGCTTCCCTGTGCCTGCTTGTGGAAGATCGGGTTTTATATTGCCATTTGCAAAACCAAGGGAATTCCCGCAGTCATGATCTGGCGGGTTGTTGGGGAGGAGCAAAATGAGCAGGCTGTTGTTTTTGCCTTTTCCACCACAAAACAACGAGCAACAGGATTGCAAACGGGAGGTTTCCACGCACACAGCCAGGCATGGGTGTGTGTGTGTGTGTGTCTTTTGTAGGGGTCCCCCCGAAATCGCTGTTTTGTTCCTTTTGGCTTCCCTTTAAACCCCTCCCCAAAACTAGGTAGCCCAAAAAAGCTGCCCGTTTCACAGATTTCGCCCAGGCGACCTTGAGGCACCCTTGGGGGGTCGTGTCTTTTTTTCCCTCGCAGGAACTTGGGTCAGCGCCTCGTCTCCGGCGCCTCCAAACTCACAGGCCGCCGCCCCAAAAAAGCAAAACAAATCCGACGGCCGCGCAGACGCGCCAGAGGGCGGCTTCCTGCAAAACATTTTTTTTGGGGGAGCTCGCTTTTTTTCTTTAGGAAGGCGCATTTAGGGCGAAAGGCTTTGAAAGACCCCTGTTTTGGGAGTCCTCGTTTATTTTTTGGAATGCAGGCCTAATGCAAGCGTTTTCATTAAAATACGGACCCCGTGGCGGGCATGATGTCGGTCGGGATTTAGGTCCACCAACCACTCTTGAGGCGTCGCCATGAACAAAAAGACTCAAATTGGCGCAATCGTTCCTCTTGGTTGGTGCTTAAAGGGAAACCAAAAGGAAACCCTTGCCATTGTAGGGCACCGATTCCTATTTTGTGCAGGCCCCACATTTGAAACATATCCTTTTAGAGGATCCGATGCAGGTGGTTGTTGGATGTACTTTGTTTTTGTTGTCTGCAGGTCAACGGGTATCGTATTTTTTTGGGTGAACTTGTAGTGGCAGCATGGTTAGCTGTATGTGTCGTTTTTGGGGGCGAATTACTCCTTTTGCGTTGTGTAGAACCCTGTTGTTGGATTTCTCCTTGCAACCAATGGCACAGATGGAACTCCCATACAAAACAAATGATTGGAGGGGTTCAAGGGACCCGTATTTTGGCTTTGTTGTTTGCTCGGGTATGCTAGACAACGATAAAGAGCTGCGTGTGGTGTCGGTGAAGATTCCTTGTGCTCCTCTTGCACTCAACATCGGCACGCATCGGACCCTTGCGGTCACACGGACTGGAAGTTAAGCACCACTCAACCTCAGTTCGGCTGGTCAGGTTATATACGCCCAAGACTCATGCGCATTAGTGTCCTTTCTAGGTGAGTTTGATTAAATATAGATAGGTTCCACTGATGTAGGTGGGGTTTGGGTCCATTTACCAGGGCTATCTATTTTTCCCAAAGGCCTATGCTCATTCGCTTATACGCCCATTTTACAACCCAGAGGCCAAGTAGAGGGCTGGATCCGTCGCCTCGAAGGCTGGCTATCCTGGGAACATCAGCTCACGGGCATGGAGGCCATTGGGCCAACGGGGTTCAAGGGACTGTCACAGGGTTTTAACCATTTGGGTGTGGCTCAAAATTTAAGAGCTGGGGCAAACCGCAGGTTTTAGGCTTTGGTTCCATTTACCAAGGGGCCATTCTAGTGCATGTTTTTGAGCCACAGCCATTTGAGTTTGTTTGTTTTCGAGGGACCCTTCGAAAACCCGGCGGGTTTTTCGGTTTGATGAAAAAAAACAACCCATTTTCAGCAAGCACGCGAAAACACACTTTCCTGGCCAATAAATTTGGACGCGAGGGCGTGTGTTCCAAATCCTTGGGTTGCTCCATGGTCAGGGGTTTTGGACCGAGTTCGGGATTTGGCATGAACCGTTTGGGGATTCCCCTCAAATGGGTTGCAACTTTCGACCCTGACAGAAGGGTTGGGTTTGGGACCCACTGAACAGGGAGTCAGCCCAAGAAGTAGATATGCAAAAACAGGGGACCCCAAGAATGGTGTTGATTTTTGGGGTTTCGCTTTAACACGGGTACCCTCAAAGAAGGACACGCCCATATACCTGAGCCACTGAACGACTCCTTTGTCGGTTCCAGATTAATTTGCAGGGCGCCAGAGTAAGGAGCCAGCTACATGGCTGACCCAGTGGATCCCAGTTGCCTCCTTTCCCCAAAAATCAATTCCGCCCCATGTTTTTTTGGAATTCTTAATAGGGTCCCAGGAGGTCCCCAAACGTTCCATCCGTTAGCCGGGCGCAAACACCATCATCAAGATCGTAACCTGCCGAGCAAGGCATTTATGTGACATTGCTCAAGGCACTTGTTTGGGTGGCGAAAGCACAATTGCAATTGAATTGAGTTTGCAAACAAAAGAAGGATAGTGCTGAAAGTTCCCCCCCCCCCCCCCGCCTTCCCCCCCCCCCCGCCCCCCCCCCCCCCACAGGGGCTGGCAAAGTTTTGGTAACGGTTTAGTTTGAGGTCAATTAAACGTAAAGTTTTTTTTTGTGTAATTCCCCCAAACAGTTTACTGTTGGGATTCTTATTTCTTACAAAGAATTGATGCTGTCACGAGACGGTCTGGCCTTGTCTCCCGGCTTGTTTCCTCGGTCAGTTCTTTGTCTCCCCACTTGTTTCCTTTTGTCTCCCCACTTGTTTCCTCACGCGCTTGCTGGGCTGGATGCTGTCATGAGATGGTCTGGCTCGGTCAACTCTTTGTCTCTTCACTTGTTTCCATTTGTCTCCCCACTTGTTTCCTCACGCGCTTGCTGGGCTGGATGCTATCACGAGATGGTCTGGCTCGGTCAGCTCTTTGTCTCCCCACTTGATTCCTTTTTTCTCCCCACTTGTTTTCTCACTCGCTTGCTGGGCTGGATGCTGTCTCGAGATGGTCTCGCTCGGTCAGCTCTTTGTCTCCCCGCTTGTTTGCCTTTGTCTCCCCACTTGTTTCCTCTTGCGCTTGCTGGGCTGGATGCTGTCACGAGATGGTCTGGCTCGGTCAGCTCTTTGTTTCCCCCCGCTTGTTTCCTTTTGTCTCCCCGCTTGTTTCCTCACGCGTTTGTCTCCCCATTTGTTTACGTTTGTCTCCCCACTTGTTTTCTCACTCGCTTGCTGGGCTGAATGCTGTCACGAGATGGCCTGGCCCGGTCAGCCCTTTGTCTCCCCACTTGCCTTTGTCTCCCCACTTGTTTCCTCACGCGCTTGCTGGGCTGGATGCTGTCACGAACTGGTCTGGCTCGGTCAGCTCTTTGTCTCCCCGCTTGTTTCCTTTTGTCTCCCCACTTGTTTCCTCACTCGCTTGCTGGGCTGGATGCTGTCACGAGATGATCTGGCTCGGACAGCTCTTTGTCTCCCCGCTTGTTTCTGGATGCTGTCACGAGATGGTCTGGCTCGGTCAGCGCTTTGTCTCCCCACTTGTTTCCATTTGTCCACCCACTTTTTGCTGGGCTGGATGCTGTCACGAGATGGTGTGGCTCGGTCAGCTCTTTTTCTCCCCACTTGCTCGCATTTGTCTCCCCACTTGTTTCCTCACGCGCTTGCTGGGCTGGATGCTGTCACGAGATGGTCTGTCGGCTCTTTGTCTCCCCGCTTGTTTCCTTGTGTCACCCCACCTGGATGCTGTCACGAGATGGTCTGTCTTGGTCAGCTCTTTGTCTCCCCGCTTGTTTCCTTTTGTCTCCCCACTTTGCTGGGCTGGATGCTGTCACGAGATGGTCTGGCTCGGTCAGCTCTTTGTCTCCCCGCTTGTTTCCTTTTGTGTCCCCACTTGTTTCTTGACGCGCTTGCTGGCCTGGATGCTGTCACTTGTTTCCTCACTCGTCTGGCTCGTCATCTCTTTGTCTTCCCGTTTGTTTCGTTGTCTCCCCACTTGTCATAAGATGGTCTGGCTCGGTCAGCTCTTTGTTTCCCCGCTTGTTTCCGTTTGTCTCCCTACTGGATGCTGTCACGAGATGGTCTGGCTCGGTCAGCTCTTTGTTTCCCCCCGCTTGTTTTCTGACTGGCTTGCTGGGCTGGATGCTGTCGCAAGATGGCCTGGCTCGGTTAGCCCTTTGTTTCCCCCTTGTTTGCCACTTGTTTCCTCACGCGCTTGCTGGGCTGGATGCTGTCACGAGATGGGTTGGCTCGGTCAGCTCTTTGTCTTCCCGCTTGTTTCCTTTTGTCTCCCCACTTGTTTCCTCACGCGCTTGCTGGGCTGGATGCTGTCACGAGATGGTCTGGCTCGTTCAGTTCTTTGTCTTCCCACTTGTTTGCATGTGTCTCCCCACTTGTTTCCTTACGCGCTTGCTGGGCTGGATGCTGTCACGAGATGGTCTGGCTCGGTCAGCTCTTTGTCTCCCTTTTTACTCCCCACTTGTTTCCTCATGTGCTTGCTGGGCTGGGTTGGCTTGGTCAGCTCTTTGTCTCCCCAGGTCAGTTCTCGCGCGGTAGCTCTTTGTCTCCCCACTTGTTTGCCTTTCTTCCCACTTGTTTCCTCTTGCGCTCGCTGGGCTGGATGCTGTCACGAGATGGTCTGGCTCGGTCAGCCCTGTGTCTCCCCACTTGTTTCCATTTGTCTCCCCACTTGTTTCCTCACGCGCTTGCTGGGCTTGACGCTGTCGCAAGATGGTCTGGCTCGGTCAGCTCTTTGTCTCCCCACTTGTTTCCTGTGTCCCCACTTGTTTCTTGACGCGCTTGCTGGGCTGGATGCTGTCACGGGATGGTCTGGCTGGGTCAGCTCTTTGTCTCCTCCTTTTGTCTCCCCACTCGTTTCCTCACGAGATGTCAGTGACCTCTTTGGCTCCACTTGTTTCCATTTCTCTTTCTCTTGTGCTTTCTGGGCTGGATGCTGTCGTGAGATGGTCTGGCTCGGCTCGGTCAGCCCTGTGTCTCCCCACTTGTTTCCTTGTGTCTCCCCACTTGTTTCCTCACGCGCTTGCTGGGCTTGACGCTGTCGCAAGATGGTCTGGCCTCGGTCAGCTCTTCGTCTCCCCACTTGTTTCCTTACGCGCTTGCTGGGCTGAATGCTGTCACGAGATGGCTCGGTTAGCGCTTTGTCTCCCCATTTGTCTCCCTACTTGTTTCCTCACGTGCTTGCTGGATGCTGTCACGACATGGTCTGGCTCAGTCTCTTTGTCTCGTCTCCCCACTCGTTTCCTCACGCACTTGCTGGGCTGGATGCTGTCACAAGATGATTTGACTCAGCTGCAGGGTGCAGAGTGCTGCTGCGGGTGCTGTTGGAGGGTGCTGCTGCTGCAGGCAGGCTGCAGGCCATGTTGCAAGGTGCTGCCGCAGGCCGAGACTTACGCAGGGTGCTGTCGCAGGCCGAGACCCAGAGTTGCGCAGGGCGCTGCTGCTGGGTGCTGTTGGTGCTGCGGCGGGGTGCCGCTGCAATCCCAGACTCAGAGTTGCGCAGGGTGCTGTCGCAAGGTGCTGCAGCAGGGTGCTGTTGCAGGGTTGCGCAGGGCGCAGGGTGCTGCTGCAAGGCGCGTTGGGTGCTGCTGCGTGCCAACACTTAGAGCTGCGCAGGGTGCTTTTGCAAGGTGCTGCTGCAGGGTGCTGTTGCGCGCGGTGCTGCTGCAGGCCGAGACTCAGGATTGCTGCAGGCCGAGACGCAGAGTGCCGGAGCTGCGCGGGGCGCTGTTGCAGCCGTCAAAACATCGGCTGACTAGGGCTGAGTGTGTGTGTGTGTGCGTGTATGTGCTGAGAACAATTCTTGATGCAATTGAGTGTGGTTCTCACTGTTTCGATGATGGTGTAATTTGGGCTTGAAAAATCTATAGTGGTCAATACGGGGAGCGGATCAGCAACCATTTTCTAGTTCCCTTGCTTACCTACTATACAGGGGCAAATCACTGGGTGAGTTCTTCTGCCTTTGGCCCTCATTGATATAAAGCTTGTTATTGCCGGGGCACACCAAAAGTCAAGGGCCATGCCCCTTATGCATTATCTGTGGTGGGTGGTTGGGAAGTCTTTGAAGGACTGGTCTTTGAAGCAAAAGGTACCCCAAATTCCCATATTTCCACTTTAAACAGCATTTTTTGGAGCAATTGTGGCGGCGGGGTGATGTTCAAGTCTAAATACATAAAGGGCATATACCCCAATTTCCGCTTGGGGGTAGTGGTTGGTAGTGGGCCCCATCTTAGACTATGGTTGACATTGAGCGATCCTTGCGAAATCAAACTCGGACAGGTGCTTATGGCGTGGCAAGCGCTCTCCGTCATCCAGGCGGACGCCGTTGCACCCACCACCAAGGCGACGCTTGAGTCTTGTGAGTCGACGGACGGCGGTCGATTGGGTGCTTGGCCCCTCACTTTACTCTCAGGGGGTCTCTTGCAATTGTGTTCTGTTGTAGGGTCGACTGGATGTGCAACATCATTTGCAAAGGGGTTTTAAGCGGGTTCCAATACCTGGCTTGCTGGGATGTAACGCTACATCCATTCAACCATCTTGGTAGAACCATACGTCAAGGGCCTTTACAGGGTGGGGGTTTTATCGCCAGGTGGCGAATGGCAAACTGAGCCCCGGCGGCTCCTTCTCTCTTAGGGTTTAGGCGCTCCTCTCTAGCAAGGGATGCTCAAAGAGCATAATATGGGTGTTTTTTGGAGGCTACCAACGTTGCCATACAGCGTGGCCACTTTTTTTGGGGTTTTCCTGGAAGACACGCCCATAGCCCTTCCCGCTCTAAACCCTGGAGTGAATCAAATTCCTCAACGCAAATACCAGCATCCTCACCATCAAACCCTGGAATGAATCCGACTCCCCAGCATCCTCACCACCTAATGGAATAAATCCGATTCCCCAACGCAAATACCAGCATCCTCACCACCTAACCGTGGAATGAATCCGACTCCCCAACGCAAATACCAGAATCCTCACCACCTAATGGAATGAATCCGATTCCCCAACGCAAATACCAGCATCCTCACCACCTAACCTTGGAATGAATCCGATTCCCCAACGCAAATACCAGCATCCTCACCACCTAACCCTGGAATGAATCCGATTCCCCAACGCAAATACCAGCATCCTCACCACCTAACCCTGGAATGAATCCGATTCCCCAAGGCAAATACCAGCATCCTCACCACCTAACCCTGGAATGAATCCGATTCCTCAATGGAAATACCTAACCCTGGAATGAATCCGATTCCCTAACGCAAATACCAGCATCCTCACCACCTAACCCCGATTCCTCAATGGAAATACCTAACCCTGGAATGAATCCGATTCCCCCACGCAAATACCAGCATCCTCACCACCTAACCCTGGAATGAATCCGATTCCCCAATGGAAATACCTAACCCTGGAATGAATCCGATTCCCCCACGCAAATACCAGCATCCTCACCACCTAACCCTGGAATGAATCCGATTCCCCAACACAAGTACCAGCATCCTCACCACCTAACCCTGGAATGAATCCGATTCCCCAACGCAAATACCAGCATCCTCACCACTTAACCCTGGAATGAATCCGATTCTAGCGCAAATACCAGCATCCTCACCACCTAACCCTGGAATGAATCCGATTCCCTAACGCAAATACCAGCATCCTCACCACCCAACACTGGAATAAATCCGATTCCCCAACGCAAATACCAGCATCCTCACCACCCAAGCCTGGAATGAATCCGATTCCCTAGCGCAAATTCCAGCATCCTCACCACCTAACCCTGGAATGAATCCGATTCCCTAACGCAAATACCAGCATCGTCACCACCCAACCCTGGAATGAATTTCCCATTCCATAACGCAAATACCAGCATCACCACCCAACACTGGAATGAATCAGATTCCCTAACGCAAATACCAGCATCCTCACCACATCCTCACCACCTAACCCTGGAATGAATCCGATTCCCCTAACGCAAGTAGCAGCATCTTCACCACCTAGCCCTGGAATGAATCCAATTCCCAAACGCAAATACCAGCATCCTCACCACCCACCCTGGAATGAATCCGGTTCCCTAACGCAAATACCAGCATCCTCACCACCTAACCCTGGAATGAATCCGATTCCCGAACGCAAATACCAGCATCCTCACCATCTATCCCTGGAATGAATCCGATTCCCCAAGGCAAATACCAGCATCCTCACCACCTAACCCTGGAATGAATCCGATTCCTCAATGGAAATACCTAACCCTGGAATGAATCCGATTCCCTAGCGCAAATACCAGCATCCTCACCACCTAACCCCGATTCCCCAATGGAAATACTTAACCCTGGAATGAATCCGATTCCCCCACGCAAATACCAGCATCCTCACCACCTAACCCTGGAATGAATCCGATTCCCCAATGGAAATACCTAAGCCTGGAATGAATCCGATTCCCCCACGCAAATACCAGCATCCTCACCACCTAACCCTGGAATGAATCCGATTCCCTAACGCAAATACCAGCATCCTCACCACCCAACCCTGGAATGAATTTCCCCAACGCAAATACCAGCATCCTCAAGCCTAGAGATACCAGATCCTTCACCACCCAACCCTGGAATGAATCCGATTCCCTCACGCAAATACCAGCATCCTCACCACCTAACCCGCATTCTCCAACGCAAATACCAGCATCCTCACCACCTAACCCTGGAATGAATCCGATTTCCTAGCGCAAATTCCAAATACCAGCATCCTCACCACCCAACCCTGAATGATTTCCCTAACGCAATACCAGCATCCTCACCACCCAAGCCTGGAATGACTCCGATTCCCTAGCGCAAATACCAGCATCCTCACCACCCAACCCTGGAATGAATCCGATTCCCTCACGCAAATACCAGCATCCTCACCACCTAACCCTGGAATGAATCCGATTCTCCAACGCAAATACCAGCATCCTCACCACCTAACCCTGGAATGAATCCGATTCCATAACGCAAATACCAGCATGACCACCCAACACTGGAATGAATCAGATTCCCTAACGCAAATACCAGCATCCTCACCACCCAACCCTGGAATGAATCCTCACCACCTAACCCTGGAACGAATCCGATTCCCCTAACGCAAGTAGCAGCATTTTCACCACCTAGCCCTGGAATAAATCCGATTCCCTAATGCAAATACCAGCATCCTCACACCCAACCCTGGAATGAATCCGATTCCTGAATGCAAATACCAGCATCCTCACCACCCAACCCTGGAATGAATCCGATTCCCTAACGCAAAAACCAGCATCCCCACCACCCAACCCTGGAACGAGTCCGATTCCCCAACGCAAATACTAGCATCCTCACCACCCAACCCTGGAATGAATCCGATTCCCCAACGCTAATACCAGCATCCTCACCACCTAACCCTAAGTTGGTAAGGTTCGTAAAGGTTCCAACGCAATCACCTTATCATTGCTTTTTCTTCTATTTTGCATGCTTCTTCTTGATTTATCACCTACCTCTCCTGCTTTTCCACCTCATTCTTTTTTTCCATCACCATACTGTTCTTGTAACATAGCATTTTTGTTTTCCTGTTGCTCGCACCTTCTTCTTTTTGTGTTTTAAAAAGTCTTTGAAGCGGTCTTGTGATTGAAAGAGTCTTTTGAAGGTTTACCTTGTTGATTGCCTCAGGACACTCCTGAGAAAGAGCGCAGGTACATGACGGCCCGTTTGGCCAAGTACCGGGCGTTCGGGTTGGGACGGAGTGCCATACTCCAGACCAACGAGCGGGTTGGGACTGTGTGCGAGAAATTCGTGCCTTAACCAAGTTGTACTTTTTCTTCTTCGCCTTATTCTTGGGTGTTTGGTGTAAACGGCTTCCTTTTCCACCTCTTTCGACATCAACCAGGGTGCTTGGCAAAACCCTCTTTCTCGATGAGGACGCGGAGAAGTATTTCTACGTTCCTCACAAGGTGGCGCCGAGGAAGAATGAAAAAGCCCGCCGTATGGCTAGGCAGTACTTTGTCTCCCGCAAGTACTTGTCCAAGGCGTGAGTTCTCCTCACATGAAGACCGATTTCCCGGTCCTCATGGAATACCTGAAGCTCCCACCTACTGGGCCTGAGCTGATCCCTCCGGCTGAGGATGTCCATCGAGATTGCCCCGTTCTTTGGGATCTCGTACGATGTGTTCCGGAAGGGTGTCAACAAGGTTGTGAAGGCCACCTCCACAGACACCAGGGGCGCCGTCGAAGCGCATCTGGTTCAGGACCCTAAGATCGTGTCGATGCCTCACCAGGCCCGTTTGTGGGCATTCATCACCTTTGAGGAAAGGATTAGGTTATGTCTTTATCTCTGGTTGCAGATGCGATCCTTGCAGCTATTCGTGGGGAGCTGATCCCTCCGGCTGAGGATGTCCATCGAGATTGCCCCGTTCTTTGGGATCTCGTACGATGTGTTCCGGAAGGGTGTCAACAAGGTTGTGAAGGCCACCTCCACAGACACCAGGGGCGCCGTCGAAGCGCATCTGGTTCAGGACCCTAAGATCGTGTCGATGCCTCACCAGGCCCGTTTGTGGGCATTCATCACCTTTGAGGAAAGGATTAGGTTATGTCTTTATCTCTGGTTGCAGATGCGATCCTTGCAGCTATTCGTGGGGCATGAGCCTGGGACCAGTCTCCGGCACTACCACGCACATGACCAGTCCAACATTTCTGCAAAGCTGCGCAAGCTGGAGGGCTTGAGGGGCCCCTTTATGACGGGCATGGCTGTGTATCAGCCACACTGCAGCCCAAATAATCTCATCACAAGGCGCAAAAAGAATCACTTGTCTGAGGTGTGGTGCACTGCTCTGCTTTTCTTCACGGGGCTCTTTGTTCCCTGCCTTTGCGCTAGGCGGCGATCGACTCCTATGTATTCTTCCTCGAAGTGATCTGGGCGGGGAGCGACGCCCTAAATACGCTGATTTTTTCACTGCCAGAATACTACTAGCAAGCTTTATGGTTGTACGTTTACTGTACGTTCACGTTTGTGCGGGCACGCGGCTTTTGAATTTGAGGGGCTGCCCTTGTAAAGGCTTTCTCTTTTTGAAAGCTTCTCCTTTTGAAAGCTTTTTTT